GGGGTGAGGGATTGATGACAACACGTGACTTTTGACATCACCACCCTTTGCAACCTGAGGTTCATATATATTATATTTCAACACATTTCAAGTGCGAGCCGGTAGCTCAGTCTGTAGAGTTCCGTTCTCAGAAATTCAAACTCGGTGTTGGTGGTTCGAGCCCCAGGTTGTCATTTGCGACATTTGTTTTTTTTTCTACAGGGCGGGGTGAGGGATTGATGACGACATGTGACTTTTGACGTCACCACCCTTTGCAACCTGAGGTTCATATATATTATAAATTCAAATCATTTGAAGTGCGACCCGGTAGCTCAGTCGGTAGAGTTCCAATCTCAGATCTTCGTCGCGGGGTTGGGGGTTCGAGCCCGAGGTTGTCATTTGCGACACTCCGGGCGTTTTCGAATCCCTGTTCTTGACAACACGCGTGTAACACGAGAACGTGTTCTCGAGCTGGTTGTTACGAACGCGCGGGTGCGTGTCGCATCGATATAAAGCAATGCAAATGGCCGACAATCGTCTGAATTTGTACTTAGGCCTATTCCAAATGAACGAGGACGACTGTTGCAAAACCGGACATGCGGGGATGAAATTGCAGACCTGCACTATAATGGTATTCTTATTCCAATCATTAGGGTATTAGCAAAAAAAAACCAAACACACAAACAACTTACGAATCTGCACAGTCCGCCATTTTGTTCAAGCTGCACCTCGCCGAACCCTCCATCAACCGGGGAGTGAAAAAATCGATCCGCGAACGCCCTCTCGGGTCTGTTCGTTACGTTCGAGACCGCTGTTCTCGTGTCGGGTTAACCCGAGTGTTGTCAAGAACAGGGATTCGAAAACGCCCTTATTTTTTCGACAGAGCGGATGGGGCGGGGTGAGGGATTGATGACGACACGTGACTTTTGACGTCACCACCCTTTGAAACCTCAGGTTCATATATATTATATTTCAAAACATTTCAAGTGCCAGCCGGTAGCTCAGACGGTAGAGTTTCATACTTAGATCTTCAATCGCGGGGTTGGTGGTTCGAGCACCAGGTTGCCATTTGCGACATTTATTATTATTTTTTCCACAGATCGGAGGTGGCGGGGTGAGGGATTGATGACGACACTTGAATTTTGACGTCACCACCCTTTGCAACCAGAGGTTCATATATATTATATTTCAACACATTTCAAGTGCGAGCCGGTAGCTCAGTCGGTAGAGTTCCATTCTCAGATCTTCGATCGGTGCAGCTTTCCTATAAAAGAAAATATTTTCTTTATCGTACAAGCACAATGAGTTTTTGTACCTGAAGCCCCTTTGACAGTGTGTGAGAGGACATGTGACGGAGATGTGATGGATTTGTTAGGACTTGTGATGAACTTGTGAGGACTTTTGATGGAGAGTTGTTATGGAATTAGGATGGACTTGTTATGGATTCGACTACAACACAGTTGACCGGTGGTATATATGTTTTGCAGGTATCTGCATGAGAGGGTGTTAATTTGTTATTTTAATTTGAGTGCACAAAAGGTTTCCTCATATCCAAGCGGTACAAAGCCATTGCTTCTAACTCCACCTTAATGCACAAAGTCTAGGTTTTTTCAAAGGGGACCACCGGAGTGATTTGAAACGCCCTCAGTTGAGTTATAACTTCACCCATATAACTGCACAAAAAAGTGACAAATGTGTTTTCCTAGCTTAAAAAACTTTTCAAAGAAAAGTTGAGTTTGAGATCGGAATTTTCTGTTGAGTGTCCCAACACTGTGTCAAGAACTGACATACAGTTGGCTGAAAATGAGTGGTAAAATGGTTGAAAAAGATTCGTAGTCTGAAACAGTACTACTAGTGGGGCAGATAGGGAAATGTTTGGGAGATTGTGCCTTTGATGATACAAGCATGGCATTTGACGAGCAGTCGGAGTATGTCTTAAGAAAAATATTTGGCTATATATAGATTTGTCTTTTGAAAAAAATAGGTAGAGTAACAAGCAATTTTCAAAATTTAAAAAATGACTGCCATTGCTTGTTATTCTACCTATATTTTTTTCAAAGAAGAAATCTGCGATGGCCCTATAGCCAAATATTTTTCTTAAAGCACAATCGCATCACAAAGTCTGTCGTTCTATACTATTTTCGGCTCATCATTTTTCGGCCCTTTATCTTCTGTGTGGCACTGGATCATGACATGTCTACTTCGTGGATCATGACATGTCAATGCTTCGTATGTGCCTGTTATTCCAGTCAGAGTTTGTTTTTTCCCGTCCTGCTGGTATATAGCATTGGAATTGTTTCCTTTATTAACTTTCAAACCTTCCCCATATCCCACCTAGAGATCAACGATGAACTGCCCATGCTTTTCAACAAATTCTCCTTTTTTTCTACGAATTTTCAACATTTCTATTTTATTACTAAAATACGTTTTTCTGTTTTGGACGTCCGCACCCGTCTGAAGTGTTTTTTTTTTTTGGGGGGGGGGAGGTTGCTTTTGGGCACAAGCAGATCCGTCTTGCAAATATAGACTGGTTCTCGGTCTGTACGTTATCGATTCTGAGTGATAGGGGTCGAAAAGCAGTGTACACCCGAGACCTGAATTATTGTCAGGACGAAAATAATAAGCATAGCAGTGGCGTAAATCTGTGCCGGCGAGTGCGGGGGGGGGGGGGGGGGGGACTATCAAAATCCAAAAATTGCCCGGCCGTGAAAATTCGAAAAGCGGGTATGGGGGGGGGGGGGGCTGGACAACCCATTACACTTAGGGGCGCTCTTCAGGATGAACATCAATAAATATACTCGCACTTACATCAAAACGGCGCATTTGTAAAGCTTTTGTACTTTGTTTCTTCACTTTTCAGTGCTGTTGAATATACATTCTGGTAGTTGGGAGGTTCGAGAAAAAAAAACTCGGAATCCGCATTTTTTTTCTCTTATCACGGAAAAGCGGGGGGGGGGGGATTTAACCCCCCCCCCCCCGGATTTACGACCCTGACTTAGCATAGGCTACACTACAAAAACTAAGTTTAGCAATTAAACACTTTCTAAAAACTTTTGTCGAGGGTGATTTTCGTCAGAAATCAATGTACCCAAAATAATTGCAAACGTTTGATTTTTGCACGTTATTTTCCTATTTGAGGGGTACGGAAGCACGCCATCAGGGGTGAACTTTCAAGCTTTCAATCTACAAAGTGATAGCAAGATTGTGTTTCATTGCTAAACACAATTATTGGAGTGTATTAGAATGTAACGTATAAACGTCGGCCGATATTTGTCTTTAGATGTCTCGTTCATAAGTAAATAACATTTGTATTTAAAAATATATACATGTATATTTATTTTCGGTATGAAACTCTAAAATAGCAGACAGTACATCTTTAATAAAAGTCTGCCACGATATTAAAACACGAAACGTCTGCCCGCCACCCCATAACTCTCCACACGCGACGCCAATTATGTCATCCACACGACACGTACCAAGGGCACACGGCTGACACCAAAAATCATTACGGGTGCTTCACAGCGCGACATCAGGCCTTTTCAAAAACACAACCCGGCATGAGATATTCATTCCATTTCACTAATGGCTTTTCTATTCTTCCGCCATCCTTTGGCGATTTGTAGCATGATCTTCGAGACTGCGTGTCCAAGGCCTGGGTGCATATTTTCCCCAACCACGTCAGTAGAGGCCTTCACTATAACACGCATTATGCTTGAAATAAGTTACGTGATTGAAATGATATATCACGTTGACATAATGACTTGATTGGGTTAATATTTCGAGCGAAGATCCAACTAAGCGACACCGTGGCCTAGTGGTTAATAGTGGTTTTCGGATCTACTGAACGTCATGGTATAGTAATTAGTGAAGATTATTTTTTCCCTTTTACCTCAAAGAGGTGATGTTTCTTTCTTTCATTGTGGTTAATTAACCGTGCTTGTTCAATGAGATAAAATAATGTTGACTTTATTTCCGACTATGGAGAGTGGAGGATTATTTGTTATGGGACATTAAGTCCGAGAACCATTTCGTTAACAACTGACGCATGCGCAATTTGGTCAGTGGTAGCCTATACTTGCAATTGCAGAAAAAGTAAATGCGGGCTGGGCAGTGTGACGTGTAGTCCCTTGGGGGGTTTGGCAGGGCTGGGGTGGGGGAAGTTGGCGAGTCATGTCAAATCAATCGACCGTGACTTCTCCTTGGAGGCGTTAGCCGTGTCGTTCACGACTTATTACACACGCCTGAGGCTTGTACCGGCACTTGAACCAGCATCGCCAGCCACCTGCTCCCGCCATTCCTAAGAAAAGATGTTTACGCTTCAAGGACACCCAATCACAAATCCACCGTGAATTGGGATGTGATGTACATGTACAAGTTCGAGTTGTGTACAAGATAATATCGCTTTTGGAAGAATCACCTTGACGTGGTAGTTGTCTCAGGAAGTAAGATGACCCCTAAAAAGTACAGTGACCAATGTGCCTTTTTGTGGGTCACACGATATCCCAAGCGTTTCTTTTGCTAGGCTGATGTACATAGACGTCATACTTAAAAGTTTCGAGACTATATTGTCCCTTTCTTTAAATTTGGGGGAAGTTGGCGAGTCATGTCATGTTTTGAACATGAACTTACGAAAATCGAAATAAACTATTAATTAATCGTCATCTGGCAGACAAAACTCAAGAAAACGTGGCCGCATCTTAGGATAGAACAGTTTCAGTGATCAAGGATGAAGCGTTTTCATTACCACAGATGAAACTTTTCTAGAGACACCAAACGTCTTATATCACTTGGTAGGCTTTGTTATAGGTAGAAAGTTTGGTTCCTCAATTATGACGTCAGTGGTCACGATTACCATCATTGATTTTCAAATAAGCAGCCAAGCCGAGTCTTGCATGACATTTGGGACGTTTTTAAAATATGCACCTGTATTTATTATCACCATAACCAACGTGGCATGGGTTGAGTAGTATACATATATATCCTTTCCATTTATGATATGTAAGCATGTTTTGTTCTTGCAGGTTAGGCATGATACTCGACGCCATGGCGCAAGTCTGCTCCAAAGACCTCAAAATTTGTCGTACAGTCACCCTAAGGAACCCCAGGAGCAATCAACCATCCAGTCCAGAAATGTTGTCCCGGCAGAACTCAAAGACACCATGGGCAACTACGAGCTCAATGAGCCCGCCCCTAGGCGGCGCGGGGTCGGCGAGAACGGAGTGCCCGCTAAGCTGCTGGCGTCCGAGCAGGCCCTCTACGAACAGAGTTATAAGGAGTACGGGTTCAACATGGTGGTCAGTGACCGGATCTCGCTGGACCGTGCTTTGCCGGACATTAGGGATCCGCAGTGAGTAGAGACTCATCAAAACTGACTGACTGACAGACGGACGAACGGAAGTCAGTCCGGGCTGACGGAAGTCCGGACGTGGGGTGATAGCATTGTGTTCCCATTATCCCTTTTTCTAAAGTTTCTCTTCTGGGGTGATGTTTTCCTATTGTGAAAATAGTGGGGTGATGTGTTCTGAAAGGAACATTAGCCCACAAGTGGGGTTTGGTCAGAACTGACAGACGGACAGATTGACTGACTGACTAACCGTTGGTGGGACTAGTCAGAGATGTAGCCCTTTCCATCACAAGTCATACCACATGTCAATCACAAAGTAACATGGGATGCACAAAGACAAAGGCTCGTCTTTGGAACGATTCATTTGAACAGATTGTCACTCGATATGAGAAAGAATCGCTTATGATTGACTCGTGATGACGTGTGAGGACCCGTCTAATACAGCGCTGATTTGGGTTAGTAAATGGTGACATATCTATATGGCGATGATGTGCTAATCCCCTGAAACGGGATTCATTGTAGCATCCAACGTTCATTCCTGCCACCAGTTATGATGAATCGACTCTTTGCCCGGCAACCATTTGAGATGGGTCCCTTTCAGACTTGTATTCGAGTCACCAAACATCGTGTCCGAGTCCGAGTTCGAGTCACTTTTCCCGAGTCCGAGTTTGACTCCCAAGTCATGAAGGTCGAGTCCGAGTCCAAGTCACGAGTCACAAAAGTCAAGTCCCAGTCCGAGTCACGAGTCACCTTTAATATTGATTGGAAATCAATATTGAGGTACTGCTGAAACCTTACAGTGTAAATGTTTCCATTTTTCCACAGCTTTTCTCTAATGTAATGACCTGGAAATACACGTGCAACATCAAACTGTAATATGACATTATTGACAAAGAAATAAGTGGTTTGTGGTATAATTTTGGTCGAGTCCCGAGTCACGCAGGTCGAGTCCATTCCGAGTCCGCAGGGTCGACTCCGAGTCCGAGTCCGAGTCATTGTCATCGTGACTCGAGTCCCAGTCCGAGTCAAGGAAAATGGGACTCGAGTCGGACTCGAGTCCGAATCACGAGTCATACAAGTCTGGTCCCTTTTGTTCCAAAGGGATAGGAATGGTTTGACCTGTTGTGCATTTATTGTTAATGAATTGACATTAAAACAAACTTGGTTGCTGTTTTCGAAGGGTCTACAGAATGAGACACTTTGTCAGCTCCCAATATGTTCGAGACTTCGAGGACGGTAAATCGAGAGGGTGGAACTGGGGGAAATACTTAATACCGCCGAATCTCATTTTAATTTTCTCCAACTGTTTTGTTCACTTTCTCCAGATGTAAATATTGGCACTACCCAGCCACCCTGCCATCAACGAGCGTGGTGGTGGTCTTCCACAACGAGGGTTGGTCAACATTGATACGGACCGTTCACAGCATCATCAACATGACGCCATCACACCTCCTGCTGGAGATAGTCATGGTGGATGACTTCAGTGAGAAAGGTGAGATACTCCCTTGTTGATCCAGGGATGTCTCAATTTGCTAGACGTGCCACGCGCCATGGCACTTTTAGTTGCATTTTGTTTGCATTGACTGTACACTGAGCTATTGAGTATTACTTTGGTCAAATAATTTCAGCGTTTGGTGGATTGCTTGAATATTGCATGTGGGCCTATTGGTGAACGTTCACATCATTTTACGATTCCCTTCTAACTACTTGCAAGCTGTATTCGAGCTCATCGAGCTACATTCCAGCTCATACAACAGGAACATGAAACATTTCACAAACGACTTTTGAAACGGCAGTTTCCTTGTGATTATATCAAAATAGATTTCTGAGACTGACATTTAGATTCATCAAATAGCAGTTTCAGTGTCGATTTCGGAAAAGGCTAATATTTGTGCCAACTTTTTACAGCCTTAAAATCCTTGCCAAATTATTTCCCCAGAGAGGCAGGAGTTTCCTTGTTTATTTTAAAATTTTGTTTCGGATCAGTCCTTAGTAAAATGTACATAACATAGGTTCTTGACATTGATGGATAAATGAGTGAATGGTTGTTTGGGCAAGCTGCATAATTTTGGCGCCTAATACTGGATCATTAAGCAGGGGCCACGTACGTATGTCTGCAACTCTGCATGCATGCAATCCATTTATGTCACATTGAACACACATTGACTTGCCTAAATGTTGCTAGTGCTCCCAAGGGGATGAAATGCTCTATATAGGTGTGACGTCATTCAACCTTCGATCACGCCACGGGCAATTACGCATCACGCTCAGGGGCGGCGAAACGCTTTTCAAACTGGGGGGGGGGGGGGGGACACCAAAAAGGGGCACTTGCTCAGAAAAAGGGCACCGTCCGTCGGTGTGAAAGTGGAGGAAAAGAAAATGGCCCCGTTCATTTTGCTATCAACACATATGATGAGGAACAAATTATGAATACGTTGTCCATCTTGCTCTTTGTGTTTCTTTTACCTATATTTATATAGAGAGACCCTTTTTTATCGCGAAAGGGGCACTGTTGCTTTTGATGGCCAGTTTAGTGACCATGTTTATTCGCGTGAAGAGCACTATTAGTTTTTAGGGGCCAGTTTTCCATCTGGAGAGGGGCACAATTTTATTATTGCGAGAGGGGTATTTTGTGCTTTCGAGGGGTAGTTTTCCATCTCGAGAAGGTGCACAATCTTGTTAATGCGAGAGGGGTACTTGTGTTATTGATGAGCAGTGTTGCATTACAAGAGAGGAGACAATTTTATTTGTAGCGCGATCATATGCTTTCGTACTTGTGCGTTTGAGGGGCAGTTTTGTTTTCATCTCCGATGGGGCACATTTATAACCGCGATAGGGGCACTTTTGTTGGCCTTGGGAAAATGGGGGGGGGGGGGCAAGTGCCCCCTGTCCCATTCCCGGTTCCGCCGCCCCTGATCACGCTCACATGGCGTAAATCTACATTTTTATTCCTCGGTCCAAATTCACGTGCAGAACATCTTAAAGACTCGTTGGAGGAGTACATCGCGCAGCCGCAGTTCGAAGGGAAAATCAAGCTGTTCCGCAACACAAAGCGTGAAGGTCTGATCAGGTCACGGATCACTGGTTCCCGACAGTCCCACGGTGAGGTGATCACGTTCCTGGACGCACATTGCGAGTGCAATGTCAACTGGTTGCCGCCTCTGCTGGCAGAAATTGCTGCAGACAGGTAAAAACAAACACAGAACAATTAAAAGAAGATACAGGAAATGTGTTTGACATGTACCAGGCCAAGGTCAGAGTCATTTAGATGTCAAGACGGAAGGCAAAGTAAACACTGTTTGATACTGCATTCCGTTGATGGGGGTTCAACTATACGGAAAGAGGCACAAGGGACATCCTCTGAAACCAGGAGGCGCAGCTTTTAAAGGTTGGCGGAACTGAACAGCATCTGATGACAATAGGTGGCGCTGTTCATGGGGCCTCTTTTCACGATACATTTTGAACGAAAAGAACGATATTTTGCCGATAAAAGTTATTGATCGGGATGTCACATCCCTGTACCCCTCAAGCGATTCTCATGATAGGCCGTTTCAAGACCGGCTCATTATGGGCACCGGGTGCACTGCTGTATTAAAATTCCCATAGACACTATAGTGCTAAATGCCCGTACTTCAAAATTCTCTCAAAAATACTCAGAACTCTCACAGATTTTTAAGCTGCACAGAAAAATGATTATTTTTGGTGGGTTGATTATTGACTTTTCGAGAAATTCTCGCCTAAAGAAGACGACCCCTATTTTCCCCAAAGCGGAACGGAAGCCATCTTGAAAAACGATCCCTCAACATCATGGCAAAATGGCAACACTTTCGAGCCTAATTGCATCCAAAATGCTCAGAATTGGAAGCCCCAAGTCGGGGCAAGAGGTTCATTGCCATATCTCTTCAATTACCCAATGTTATGGCTCTCCGAACTCTCCAAATATAGAATATTTTGAGGGTATAACTTTTATTCATGAGCTCGGCGGATTGATTCAGGCCTATTTACCGGTGTGCACCCTTGTAGGCCTTACCGGCGCGAAAGTGAATGCGAATTTGTGACTTCACGGCAAGTGCGTTCGTTGCGAATTCAAAAAAGTGGAACTCACTTAACCAGGCCCGGATTAAGTGTTTCGTTGGCCCTAGGCACCAGTGCTCCGTAGGCCCTACTCCACCCTAGGTACCGGCACCACATTCATATCATGTTGATGCTATTAAACTTATTATTAAATTAAAAGTACAAAGCACTGTACAACTCAAGCCAGGGCAAACTGGCATGGTATAGGTCCTATAGCACTAAAATCCGATTGGCACCAAGGGTGTCAATGGCTTCTCAAAAGTGTGGGGGGGGGGGGCGGGGCTGGTACTTACACGACTTGTGTATCTCGATCAGAACTAATGCGAGTGCGAAGCTTAAACGGCGTGGGGTTCGGGGCCCGCTTAAGGGCCCTGAAAAATGTTTGGATTCTAGACGCTCTGTGGTGCGATCTGAGGCAATTTCTGACCACTTTAACCATTTTTTTTAAGCAAAAGATCATCAGTTAAACATCATTTTCGAGTTTGGGGGTCATTGAATCAGCTATTCCGGGCTATATAATCAAATTAATGCAGCCTGTAATTGTTTTATTCGGGGAAGAAAATAGTTTGGGGGAAACGACACGTCCCCGTCCCCACCGACCGACGCCCATGGTTGGCACGGTAATACGTAGGGGCCTACATGCATGCTGTACAGCGTCAGTTGGTGAAATCGAAAATTCTGAGAGAGACCCTAACACTTTTTAAAAGCTTTTCTCTGGGTGTGTGTGCGGGAAGGCCTATATGTGTTTTATGACACACTCCGGTATTTGCGTAGGCCCTATATGCACTGTGCTACTGTGCCTATAATCCGGGCCTGCACTTACCTTCAACGAATTGCACGACAAGTAGGATACTGGCTTTGCGATTTCTAAAAGGTGGAACACATTTTTACCGTTTACGAATTTCGTCGAATGCGCATTCGAATAAATTTTAACCCGGCATCTATCCAAGATAATCCATAATTATATAGTATTAGTTTTAAAAGACGGCAATTGGAGAGTAAAATTTACAAATGAGTCTTTTTTGTATTAGCTGATTCGATAAAATTTGAATATTGGTTTGATTGGATTTGATTGGATGTGTTTTGATTGGTCAGGAAGGTAGTTGTATGCCCCACCGTAGACGCTATCGAAGCAGACACATTCGCCTACGGTCCTCAGATTGATGGGCTGTGTCGAGGCGCATTCGACTGGGAATTCTGGTATAAACGGATTCATGTCGACTACAGCAAAGAGCGTCTGGGAATGAAGTACAGCAGCCAGACGTATGAGTGAGTTACCCTTCTTGCAGACTAATCCGGGTACCACAATTATTAACCTTTATTGAGGTGCTATGACGCTCCCGTCCATGCATATAACGCACTTTTGAAGATTTTCAGAGGTGCACACAAGCCTTGAGTGTTTGCGTATAACCAGCTGCTGTGGGCCGACACTATTGGTCTGCACTTTCGCGGCCCTTTAGTAGTTTGATATTGATAGCGTATGGAGACCCGAAGTGTATACGTCACGCGCTCAAAATGTGTGTGAAAGACATTAGCGCGTGATTCAGACCGTGACGTCACACTTCGGTACTCCATATGGCTGGAGAACCGATATGGTACACCCAAAGGATTTTTTTGGTAACATTTCAATGGAACTTCGCAGCCATATCAGTAAATTATGCTTACGATGGTAGTTTTAGGAAAATGCGAACTTGCGCCCATTGATAAAGGCACCAAAAAATCTGCATTTTAACGATAATTTGGCATTACTTAGTTTTTTTTCTTGCTGGAGATGCTCTTTAACAATTCTTCATGAAATCACTAGTGTGATGTCAATGCAACCACGATGGGGCGGAGTGGGTTTCGAGTCGGCAGTCGATTCGTGTATAATATTTTCGTTCTTCCCTGTTCATCCATGTAGCTCTCCCGTGATGGCGGGAGGACTATTCGCCATTGACCGGTCCTACTTCTTCGAGCTCGGAGGTTACGATCCGGGCCTTCAGATCTGGGGAGGTGAAAACTTCGAGATTTCTTTCAAAGTAAGTCCTAAAATCAGACCTGCCAAACTCTTGTAGGGTTAATGCTTTAAAACTTGTAGATTAAGGCAGACTCAGGAAAGTTCTGTTCTGAAATGCAAAGGGGTTTTAATTTGGGTAAAATAAAAACATCTTGCAATGATATAAAACCCGAAAACGTTTTCGTGAAGATAACCCCCGATTTTAGAAATTAGAATTGGAAATTAGAATTATTATCTAGGCCAGTTTCAATGGCAGATAACATTTTTCTCGCTGCAGATTTGGATGTGTGGTGGTAAACTAAAGTTTGTCCCCTGCTCGCGAGTTGGGCATATCTACAGGAAGGGTGTGCCTTACACGTACCCTGATCTAGGGACTGGTGTCTCAGTAGTGCGAACGGTAAGTGCATAAAGATAGTAACAATACAACCAAGCTGTAATCACACATTTTGGTTGATAGATGGGGGCGATTAATCATCACGTCCCTGTACAGAATCGGTCCTTTGTGCCATTTCCTAATATTCCTTTCCAATATTTTCCTTAGGCTAATCCACGTTCGAATTTGGATCTTGAAGCCTTTAAACCAAGGGTTCTCATGTGAACGTAATTGATTTACATCCATTTATTTTTGTTCCCCAAATGGCATGCTGTAATTGTTACCTTAAAGGGCCCATGTAATGAATTTTTGTTAATACAGTTCTTGAAAATGCACCTTTGTGTCCCATTTAACCTTATTTTCAATTTTTGTTTTGCCACTTTTAACTTTTTTGGTTTTATGCTGATGACAGTTTTCATATTCATGAGCAAAAGTGTGATGTCATTTCAGGCAGAAACCTCAGGGTTACAGATTTTTCAGCACCAAAAGTTGCCAGTATTTTGGATATTTTGCTGTCGTAAGTTTTCTTTTCTGTGGTGATTCTTTGTTGTGTCAGTACGTGCATGGCAGTAAGCCCATGAGGCAAACACTTCTCACAGATGGTTTCAATGAGCACATTTTTGGGCTCCCAAAATTTTAACAGAAAACCCCTGAACTAAACAGTGTCTTCCTGAAATGACATCACAGCAACAGCGCTCTCAGTTGTCCGGAAAAGCATTGACAATTTGAAATGCATATTAAAAACAAAAAACAAAAAGGGATGTCAAGTAGTTTTATACATTTAAGAGGAGTAAAAAGATGCACAAAATGTGTTCCTAAAAAAAAATTATTTCATGGACCTTTAAAAATCAGTACTGATTTTAAAAGTTTGTTATTTTTGTGTTGTGATCGGTTGTCAGAACTACATGCGAGTAGCAGCAGTGTGGCTGGACGAGTACGAGGACTTTTTCTACGCCAACCAGCCAGAGCTGCGGGGCAAGCCGTACGGTAACATCACGGAGCAGGTCAACTTCAGGCGCCGGCACTGTCCTAAGTCCTTCGATTGGTTCATGAAGGAAGTGGCGTTTGATACACTGGAGAGGTTCCCTCTACCACCTGTCAACAGACTCTGGGGAGAGGTACTCGGATCTTTGGCTTATGTCTCTTTCTCTGTTTATATTGCAACTGGGGGATATACAGGGTGAGTAGAAAAAACCCCCGAAATGTTGGGATCATTGTTTTAGTGAAGTTCTGCGTGTAGCACTTTCAAAATCTAGGATATGAAAGCACCATTCATAAGCTTTCTTTTAGTACAAGAATCATTCAAATCACTCATGTACTTTTCAAGTTACACAACCACTGTTTTAAGGTTCTGTCCATGGATCACAAAAAAGTTCAGTGTTCTTTCAGCAAAACGAAAACAAATCACACAGGGATGTGTGTGAATTGTTTTCGTTTTGCTGAAAGAACGCACACCTTTTTGGGGATCCGTGGACAGAACTTTAAAACGGTGGTTGTGTTTAAAATTCCGTAACTTGACAAGTACATGAGTGATTTGAATGATTCTTGTACTAAAAAAAAGCTTTTGAATTGGGCTTTCATGTCCTAGATTTTGAAAGGGCTGCATGCAGAACTTCAATAAAACAATAGTCCCGACATTTGGGTTTCTTTTTTTTTTGACTCGCCCTGTATAGCTGCCTTTTTGTAGCGCCATGAGCGCTATGTACATGTATATCTTAATAAAAACCGCAGAAAAAAGTCTCAATGGAGGGGTCATAATTTTGAATCTGATTGTCTTATGATGTTGTCATTTATACAGATCTTTGGGGAATGTTGTTAGCTACATTTTGATACTCCATTTTCTGCCAAAGACTGTAAATCGTCCAACATTGACAACGGTTTATGAAAAATGATGCAACTTTTCAAACTGCAAACTGTTGTCAATCTTGGACGATAGAGTCTTTAGTAGCAAACAGGGTATCAAAATGTAACTAACAAAATTCCTAAAAGGTCCATTAAATGACGTCATCATAAGACGATTGCACATGGTTATATTAGAATGAACGATATTACTATATAATAAGCAAAGCTGATGTAGGCTTTGCTTCATCGCTTTTGATTTTACCTATCAGTATCCTTAATTAAGAGTTTGCAAAAACGACAGGGCTACAGGTCGAGAAAACCAACATATGCAATTTCAATTCACAATTAAATATATACAACAGTGGAGGGAAAACCATTCAATGCGTTATGTAGAATGCTGCATTGTTGATGTTTGATGCAATCACTGGGAAGGAGAAACTTCGATTCTTACGCCGAATGGTAGAGATAAACACCATGGCCATTGAGAGCCGCTTTCTGGGTTGCTCTGCATCAACATCTTTATTGGATGCGCACAGAGGAAATGCTGTTACAACAAGCCCAGGTTCTTGGATTCTCCCCGCCTCTCTATTCTACCAACCTGCAGCTACCCCCAACATGGGACGGGCAAACGATTCTTTTTTTCAAAATTGCGCGATGCCTTTTCGATTTGGATTCTGGAATCCCAGTTTTACGCCCCCAAAACATGTATTCTGGGTACAGAAATGGAGAAAATAATAGTGTGACACTCATTCACTTGAAACTGAATGATTTGTGATTTACTTGTGATTGATTTGTGTTGTAAAGGGACGACAGATGTACGTAAATTTAGTATAAATCCTTATAACGCCACGTCGAAAATCTCATCATGCTCATGTTTGAAAGGATCCATTCTACAAAAAAATAATTAAGCACCGTGTTGCGCGTTAAATAATGACTTATATTACTCATGCCGACTTCCTATTTATCTGTTGTGTCAAATTTGAAAGCATTTGAACTTAAAACATAGAGGTTATGGAAAAAATACTATTTGTGACCAAAAATGGGCAAAATATTGAGGAAAAAATGTCGTCATAACGTTAATGTGCAGTTTGAGCCAATGTCAACAGCCAGATTCAGATTCAGCACTATCGAATTAGTAAAGTTGGCCTTATTGCAAGCTGTCACCAAAAGTTAAGACGAACCTCAACTTCTAAACCTGATACAGATTTTGGCCCATGGCCTACTAGGGTTAAGCGCTTTGGCCTCGGGGATCTTCCCTCCCTAGCTGCATTGCTGTCGGCACTTCCGGTCTTTCCACTAACTCCCAACTTCCAAGAGAAATAATTTTTTTGTTGAATTGGGTTGTTATAACACTTGGTTTTTGATCTATCCTAGATACGAGGGTTGTATAGCGACATCTGTCTGGACACCATGGGCCGGGACGAAACGGACGGCAGAATAGGCGCGTCCCGTTGCCATGGTTTGGGCGGGAACCAGCTATTTCGTCTGAACGTTGCCGGGGAGTTAGCCTTTCACGGTTACTGCCTCGTACCAGCCGGGGACCGAGTCATAATCAGGGACTGCGGTCACGTGGGCAAAACAACAATTTGGGAGTTTGACGAGGTAAATATGATAATGGAAAATACCAGTGATTTCCAATGAAGTGCGCCACCAATAGGTTCCGCCGGAGACGCAGTTCTTTCGCAATGAATTATGGGGGAAAGTCAACATCCTGACATTCCTTTTAAGTTTGGCATCAGGATATTAATTACGAGGTTTCAAGATTGAATTTGTGTTTGCGTGGTACTCCTTGAACACAATAGACCTTTATGAGTCGCGGCCATCTTAGAAGACATCTTTTGTTATTTTAATTGAATGCACAAACGGTTCACTCCGATGCATATCCCAGCAAAACAAGTGCCTTGCCTTCTAAGATGGCTACTATGCACAAGGTGTATTATACAAGCAGGATGTATTCCTTCGTCCCAGCATGGAGGCACCGCCCTAACCATGGGGGGGGGGGGGCTAAGTTCCTTCACAAAATCTTATGAAGGAAGCACAGGTCACGGTAGGACACTTGCTCGACATCGTACATTCATGTACATCCGTATGAAAGTGTCATGCACACACGGACGAGCTGACCTGCGTGTGCGTCAGCGGGCAAACAGTTTGTCCAATGAGAGCTGAGAATGCGTAGACCCCGGGTCATCAGGTGAAAAATCGTCAAATGACAGCTCAAAGCGATTAGCCCCCATACTGAGCGCCCTTGGTTAGGGCGGTGGGGACGAGCGAAGCAGCATGTCGACCTTAAAAGTGGCATCTTCGAAGCAAACGCTGGTGGCGCACTGCATTACGAATAGCTTGTTTCAAGTAATGCCCTATATAGGTAGCAGACCAGTAAATAAACTTCCATAGACCCCAATGGTAAATGCTCCCACTTCAAAAATTTGGGAAAAATACTCACAACTCTCCAAGGTGTTCGAGACACACATCAAATTAAAGCTTATGTCATCATCTTTCATTTTCTTTTCAATTTTCGGGGGGTCAACTGATGACTTTTAGGAGAAATTTCCATCTGAAGATGATCACCCCTGAAAATAGTCCTGAAGCCCATCGCCATTTTGAAAAACGATGCCTACACTCCATTGCAAAATAGAGCGCTTTTAGGGTCCAAATTACATCAAAATTACACAGAACTGCAAGCTCCCAGTCCTGTGCACGGCTTCCACCCATATTTTTTACAAACCCTCAAGTTCATGGCCCACAGCATGCTCAAATACCGAAGATTTTGAGGGCATGCAAATCGTGATTTGGCCGGCGCAGGCAATTTCGGACCGATTTACTGGTCTGCACCCATAATACCACTTTAAACATATTTGCCCCGTCCATTTGGTTCGATCGGTTCACGTCATAGGGCCAGACAAATAATCCTCTTTGATTGAATCAGACAACTTTATGAAAATGATATTTGTTCTCATGATCCACAAACATATTCGGTAATGATGGCAGTACCGAATTAAATTGTATTACTTTAAAAGCAAGTAAGAACATTTGCAAAAACGTACCGTACCGATTTAACGAGAAAATCCTTACTCAAAGTGAAGATAGGACTGGTACCAAATAGGACCTACCCTGTGTGAGATGATTCCGCCTGAAGTGGAATCATTTGGAAAACAACATCCAATTGAAGGTGGTGTCGGAAGGTCTGCCCACGAGCGCAATATATTAGCAACAGAATCCAGTTGCAAGATCCCCAAAAAGTGGAATACGTTTTCTTCGAGTTTCTCAAAACGACTCTCGTTAATACAAACTCGTCCGACCTAGCCAAAATGTTTGTTATATCAGAATTCTGTATTATGAGGAGCAACAGTCCCATTCTTTGTACACAAAAATGCAACATCGGTACTAAGGCTATATGTTTGCTATAACCTGAATTTGCATTAACAGTGTTTGTACTATAACGAGAGTTGACTGTAGTATCCACTGAGCTGAAACTTAAACAACTTAGTTGTTATGCGCCCTACTTAAGATTTGAGCAATGTTGTTGCTTGAAACTCAAAAATGCACAAAAACCATAACGCAACCAAACAACATTTTTTTCTCAATTTTGTTTATCTCTCTGCAGGGGACTGGCCAAATCCGGGAGATGAACACACCCAACTGTATCCACCTCGACATGGGAACTTTTGAAGTCACTCTCAAAGACTGTGATATTAATTTATCAGCGCAAAAATTTCAAATAGCGCCGCCAACGCCCAGATGACACAGAACTTAGTTCACCCGAGCAATGGGCCTCATGCACGAGTTGTCCATTTTTGTCGAGTTCCCTGAATGTGTTTCATTAATTGTTAACTGTTGAATGGCATGGCGCCAGACTATTTATGCAGGCACAATAAAGCCTTATTTTACTGTCATTTTTTTAAATCTGGCTTTGAACATTAGGGAATGTTTAATTTTCTTTTTTTTTAATTATTCATTGAAGCAGACTGGAATTAATTAGAAATTAACTTGCCCAAATTTCTCTTCGCAAGTTCCAAAAATTAAGATTTAACCTCACTTTCAATTCAATATGGCCGACTCGTGCATAAGGCCCATTAAAAAAATTGCGGAGCATCGCCTTAAACTGATCAGTACATTGCGTATTTCACGCCGAGTTGGCGAGTTGTCTTTTTTAAAAACCAAAGTATATAGTTTACAATTTTATAAGCTGCTTTTTGGAGGGGAAAGTCTGGTGCTGCGTTATTCTTGGTTTAAACAAAGGATGACATAAATTACATTATCATTTAACAACGGTTCGCACGAGTAGCAACAGTATAAAATACACTTAAAATTGTGTGGCATTTTTATGAAATATAGTTATTTATTTGTTTGCTGTATTATTCAATAATAAGTTTGAAAACAAATTCTCAAGGGCCCTACACAACTTAAATTAAAATTCATTATAAACGTATATAACAAACTAACACAGGTGTACAACATATACATTCAAATCATTGTGAGATTTTTAAACATACGTTGAAAATTTGGTCTTCTCTAAGGGGCTTGAATAAATATTTAGAATAAATTTCATTAATTTAAAAAGTAATATAAACGTATAAAACCAACTAATACAGACACACAAAACATAAATACAAATCAACTTATGCGGATAAAATTATCGAAAAAGGAAATTTGTAATTGGCAATAAAATTACAAAGAAAAAATCAAAACGCGTGATAACATTTAAACGTGGTCACAAGGGCGGATCCAGAGGGGGGGGGGGGCCAAAGGGGGCCATGGCCCCCCCCCAAAACGAAATCAATTTTTTTTTTTTATGTGACATCGCAATAACGGCAGGCAATGAGTACACCACCATCTTTTCCTCAAACCAAAAAACATTGGTTAAAGTGGTCAGAAATTGCCTCGGATCGCACCACAGAACATCTAGCATCCAAAATTTTTTCGGGGCCCTTAAGCGGGCCCCGAACCCCACGCCGTAATTTTTTTGACCCACTTTTTAACATCGCAATAAAGGCAGGCAATGAGTACACCACCATCTTTTCCTTAAAAAAAAACATTGGTTAAAGTGGTCAGAAATTGCCTCAGATCGCACCACAGAGCATCTAGAATCAAAAAAAAATTCGGGGCCCTTAAGCGGGCCCCGAACCCCACGCTGTAATTTTTTTGACCCACTTTTTGGGGGGACCAAAAATGTTTTTGGCCCCCCCAAAAAAAATTGTGTTCTGGATCCGCCCTTGCGTGGTCATCAACGTTCTTTGTGCAGTCACGTGACACGATTTTTACCGTTTTGGACAACACTACGGTGCATATAAGGAAAACGCAAGATAACACAAATGTGGACTTAATAAAAGGAAGAAAGACGAAAAAAAATCTTTTGGAAAGCGAATGAAATCTGCGTCAACAGAATTACGTAAAGGACCTAATTGTCATGCACGTAATAGGGTGTAATGTTTGGAATTGTGCTGGTCTCGAGGACTGAGAGGGCCAGTCTAGTGACCTCTTCGTACCTATTTCACTGACTGAGTGACCGACTGAGCCCAGCAGAGATACCGTATACGATTGAATCGTATAATTATGAATTGGCTTCATCCGGCCCATTGTGGAGACGAGATGCATGAGAAGACACCATATCAGTCAGTAGCCGCGTCACGCACACAGCCCTGTTTGACCTAAGTTTCTCGTCCCGAGGTTAAGCACGCATGGCCCAAAAGCGTACGCGAGATTTTACGAGATTTATTCGAGACTACAGAAAAACACAAAAAGTGCCTCGATACATGCACTGTTTGGCCAAGATGGCTAAATAAGTGAAAAGTTGAAATCGTGTGCTTTATTGTGATAACAAAAATAACTGCTTTTGACAAATATAAAGTGTTGTTATGGCCTGTCAAACAAAATCATATTTTTTATCAACAAACTCGAGGGCCGATAGTTTTTAGGTGTACATTCGATTCTTTAAAAAGGCCGAAACAAATGGCAAGGCTTAGTAGATAGAGGAAAGTATACGCTTCATTTTCATGTGAAACACGTGCAGGAGACTTCTAATGTTTGGTCGAAATCGCCGGTTGAAAAATGAAGACATTTGCGAGATTTCATGATTTGCAATCACAACGTGTAAACGAAAGTAAGTACGCCCACGTGCAAAATGTACGTTGGCCTGAAAACATTGTGAATAGCACGCGCGAACGCGCAATGAACGACTTATGAATATTAAGCAATTACAAAACAATTACAGAGAGATATGCAAGGTTTTCCAGTTTTTGCTTCGTTTTCTCGACATCCTTTTATACATCTTCAAATTGAGTGTGGAGCAAATCCTTATGTGCAATAAATGGAACTTGTACTTCAGATATTATTGTTTCCTTCTTGTTATGGTGTTACCTGTGGCTGATTTCATGGAAAGCCCAGATATTTTTCAAGGACATACAGCAAAACAATTCCACGGCATAACAAATTTAAAATCAGGTAAAATGTTACGTAAATGTAAACTTCCTGTAACTGGTTCGCGCGTTAACTATAAAGCACACTTGTACAACATGCAGGTTTTGTTATGTCCCCATCCCCGCAAGCCAGGGCAGTCTTACGTTGTAAGACGCCTAACAAACCGAGTCCGCATCTTTACTATTATGACACTCATCGTCAGCCAATCAGATTCTCTGCGAAGACTTCGTGACGTTTTCCTACGCGCTGAATATTCAGATTAGAAATGCAGGATAAACTTTGTTGGCCAATAGGAGAGCGATTTTCAGGACGGCACAGCGCGATGCCATTTTATTTGGAACAGTTTTTGTAAAGAGTGATCTGATTCGTCAGAAACTATGTCATTTGGAAGTGTTCATGAATAATTAATCTAAAAGAGGTAAAAATAGCAAGGATGTGAACTCAGTTTGCCAGGTTACCGTCTATCTTACGACGTACGTACTCGAGTATTAGACTTCTCTTGCTAGCGAAGATGCGTGCTTGTTTCCCTCATGCAGTAGCACGTGCCCCCTCCCCCTGTTAGAGGTCCGTGCCCCTCCCCATTTGAAATCTTGAATTGCAATATACCAGTTGCCCTCAGGGCCCCCCTTGAAAAACTGGTTCACCCATATCTAGGTGGCCCTAGAAGCTTAACCCTAATTACACCGCTAGTCGCCGACAATACAGCTTATGCGTTACAGGTGTCTCAAAGAATATTCTTTTATCGAACAGACTTTAACCCTAACTCCCTAGGCATTTTGCTAGGATGCAACCTCGAAATCCTCAAACTGCCTCCTCAAAATCCTCCAACTGCCTCCATATATAAATTGCCTACAGCCTCAATCCTGCAAAATCCTCCAGCAATCGCTGTCATTATGTTGAGGCAGAGCCAGTGACATCCTGGAGCAGTGCGGAGGATTTCAAGTATGATCTAGACCTAAATTCATGCACGGCTGAGCATAAACAACACAAGGTCCGGCCCAAGACGTTGACACAGTGCATCGTCCAAAATCAAGGGCGGATCCAGGGGGGGGGGGGCCAAAGGGGGCCATGGCCCCACCCCCCCCCCCAAAAAAAAAACGAGACCAATTTTTTTTTTTTAATGTGACATCGCAATAAAGGCAGGCAATGAGTACACCACCATCTTGTCCTCCAAAAAAAACATTGGTTAAAGTGGTCAGAAATTGCCTCAGATCGCACCACAGAGCATCTAGAATCAAAAAAAATTTCGGGGCCCTGGGCCCCGAACCCCACGCCGTAATTTTTTGGACCCATATTGGGAGGGACCAATTTTTTTTTTGGCCCCCCAAAAAAAATTGTGTTCTGGCTCCGCCCTTGTCCAAAATCAGCCACACACTTTTTGCCATATAGCCTCAATCCTGCAAGATCCTCCATATTGCAAAGAGGATTTTGTAAGATTTGGGAAAGTTAGGGTTTAATATACAGACTCTGAAAGGTAACTATTATTTCTGTGTCAATAATTATGACAGAGTCCACTATCAGTCTTCATGCTGACAGGCTATTCTTTGTTATTTTATTCTGGTAAAAATTAATGCACAGCAGGTTCACTCATGTCTACCCTAGGGACACATCGACAGATGGTACCAGCCCCCCCCCCCCCCCCCCCCCATTTGATTTTACGGAGGCTAAAAAAACTGTCCGGGGAAAAAAACGTGTCTACATTTCAGCACGGATGTGCAAGTGCCCTTTTCATAAAAAAATCCCCCCCCCCCCCAATAAAAGTGACCGTGCTACGCCACTGGTATAAGTGGACTCGTCGTCCGTATTGCGTAGACCGAGTCCGTGGCCGTGTGGTCGAGTAAGCCGCAAGCAATTTTTGCGTAAATATTATACACAAGCTGGTTTACCCGATCATAGATCGGGTAGGGCGTAGTGTTGGGGATGGAAATGTGGGGAGTTAAATGTAAATGGGGGATATAGTTGGTGAGACATGCAGTTAAAGAATATTAATTTCTGTTGTGTGATCTGAGGCAATTTCTTATCACTAAAACCAATTTGAGCAAAAGATCATCTGTGAAAGTTTGGAGTTTTGAGTAATTGAATCAGCTACATGTATTCTGAGCATTAGAATCATTATTGTAGGCTACAATATTTTTATTCGGGGAAGAAAAAGTGTGTGTGTGGGGGGGGGGGGGGAGACCAAACAATGTTCCCCCTCAAAATGGGTGTGTGTGTGGGTGTGTGTGTGTGTGTGGGGGGGGGGGGTTTCCCCTGTCCCCCGTCGATTTACGCACATGATAATTATGTACCATGGCAACTGTCTGTAAATGTTGCCGTTGGTCTGTTAAATTGGCTTTTTGTGAGGCAGTCGCATTTGCAAAACGAAGATCATCTTTTAAACATCATTTTCGAGTTTGGTGTCATTGAATCAGCTATTCTGAGTAATGGAATCATTATACATGTAGTAGCTACAATTTTTATTCGGGGAAGAAAAGTGGGGGGGGGGGGGGACCAAAAAAGTCTCCACCGCTTTAAAATGGGGGGGGGGGAGGGTGGAGGGGTTCCCCGTCCCCCACCGATTGACGCCCATGATAATTATGTACCATGGCAACAGTCTGTAAATGTTCCCTTTGGTCTGTTAAATTGGCATTTTGTGAGGCAGTGGCATTTGTGAGAAAACGTACTTGAAAGGCTTGCCGTAGTACACAGGCGAAGGCTGATTAAGAAGGTCATAATTAGGTTTCAGTATATTGGACTCTTCAACAAACGTAAACTTGAACGTCTTACAATTTGCGAGACTGTCTGCGAGGAACTTGTCGAGTCAACTGTTATTCAACTTGGGTCAACCATCTATATAAGAGCAAATTTTACTCGGCCTCCGAGAAATGTTTGCTCCTGAAACGATCTGAGACCGCGGTCTTTCGCGACGCCAAAATCGCTCCACGTCCGTGGAAAAATGTGGAGGGTGTCTTCCGCCGGATCGGACACATTTTCGTTGATTTTTTGTGTGACTGCGTTTAAGATCGCGATGTTTGAAGCAATGCATCGATCCTTCGTTGATCCCAGACAGGCCCCCGAAATTATAACGCAACACTGTGGCGGGCAGCGAACTCACAACGCTCAGCCTTGGTGGAAGCACGGAGCTGTATTAACACACGATGGAAGCAACAGAGCACTATACACGTCACTCACATGCTTGTGCTTCAAATCATGCAAATAGCGAGCACCGTAGGCCCAACCTCGTTTCCAGGGTGTGGAGCAGGCTGCAGTACGCGTTGCCATCGACAGTTTTGCATAGCCCGGATATACTACGCAGTGTAGACTTTCGATTGGTCAGACCGCGCAAGGCATACTTAATGTGTAGTCCTTCTGAGTATTCGTTGCACTCGGCGCAGGGGCGGCAAGCGAAGCATATGAAAGAATAGGGGCACTCGGTGGCCACGCACCATGGAGAAAAAATATTTTACCAAGGTCACCCAATAACACAATTTGGTGAACGCTTTGGCAGTACGGCTGAGTAGAACACGTAAACGAAACCCCTACGTTGACCTCGCTGACCTCGCACAGTCTAGACTCGCAGAAAAGCCAGCACAGGGGGCGGCCAGGCAGTGAACGTGAAAGCGCACACGACGGCAAATTCCTGCGCAAAATGCAGTCACGAAAAATAGACGAAAAGGATCGCCGGTCCGTACGGGAAAATCAGGACGACCCGAAGTGTCCGACCCGGCGGAAGACACCCTCCGCATTTTTCCACGGACGTGGAGCGATTCTGGCGCCGCGGGAGCCCGCGGTCTCGGATCCTTTCATGAGCAAACATCGTCTTGGAGGCCGAGTTAAACTCTCTCTTATATATATAGATGTAGTTTAATGTACGAATTCAGATTTTCATAGATCATTGCAGCATTGTGGCCTGCTACTTTAAAAAAAAAAGGGCTCTTTGGGGTCAAGTACCAAATACTACAGAATACTGCATGTGTTGTGCACACTTGTACGGAAAGAAATGCATACTACAGGTTACTACTCAGTGATATTTTGTAGCTTCAGGTGAGGTTGTTAAGTCGCTGGTCACAATGCTGCATGTTGTTGGTTCGAGTCCCAGCATTTTAACACCCCCCCCCAGTAGAACTCTTTCCTAAATCGTGTTTAAACAAGTCTTACTAATCGATGAAATATATGTCACCAGAGTGATAAGCTCTGGAGTGTTTTTTTTTTAACAGGAAGTTAATTCCGAGAACCATTACGGTACAATTTTGACGGATGCTTATTATGCACACTTCTGTGGCGCTCCAAGTAAGTCGAATCCCGAAATGAATCGCGTAACAAATTTCAGATAGGCCTAGGTACGCCTCGAACCAAGACTACCTTTATCGCGTGCAAGCTAGACATTTATTTAGAAGATAGCTATTTCCATGCACGGGACTCGATAGTTGGCCAGGCTAACAGAAAAACGGCCACGTAGTTTTCTAATGAAGAACGCGAAAAATGGCCTCCAAACTGAGTGGAACTGATGGCAACAGGCTGGTGTTCTTTTGTAATGGCAAAAAGGTAGGCAGGTTTCTCCGGTTTATATAGGGACCATTAGATATGGCGCGGGTATACGGGATATGTTTGCGACCCGGAAAAACTAGCTGGTTGTATCACCATGAGTGTGGTTATTTGAACAAACCTTTTTATGTGAAATGCACATTGCCCACCAGATGAAATAACCATGCAAAAGGGTGGTTGTGTGATACAAGTGTTAAAATAGCCGGGAAAACCTATACTAGCAAATGCTAGGAAGTTTAGGCAAAAGTAAAAAGCATTTACTTATGAGTAAAAGCATTAGGCCCCTAAGGAAAAGCAAATGCTTGAAAGTTTCTTTTACTGTTCAGCATTCACTAGACAACAGGTAGCAAATGCTTCTTATACTAATAATCATTGTGATGCATATACAATATACAGTGGTTAATTTGATCCTCAACAGTTGCAAAATGCAGAAACTTTATGCTTTCATGAAAAAGCTCCACAGTGTGTCCTGTATACACGAAGTCACAGTTGCATAAACAATATAGACACATATTTCAGCCGGTATAGTCCTACCAAAATTCAATAGGCCTATAAAAAGTATTTGTGTGTATTGAAATATTATAGTAAACGTTTGAAATGATTATTACCGCATAAACTGGACGATTATTTCATTTCGTTCAGTCCCCAGATTGCCTTTGGATAAAGTTTCTCCTTAGTTAACCCTTGCATGGAAATATAACAGCATTATTGCTTCAGTTTATTCATAAACAAACAAATGCTTGGTAGTCAAGGCAACTGTTAGTTTTTGTACATACGACCCATTATTTTAAATGTCAGATTTTGTGTTTTATATATGAGGATTTGTCTTCTCTGAAAGAATGTCAGCCCCCCCCCCCCCCCACACGTGTTGGTTTTTGTTTTGCAATTAAACCAGAAGATGAGTTAAGACGACTAGGTTAAAATGATGCTTCTAATTCCCTTGGCCCTTTTTTTGAAAATATAAATAAAAAGAGACAAAAAAAGGGGGAAAGAGCACCAAATTTGCAGAAACCAGCTGGCCGGTAGGCCCCCTGAAAATATGGGAAACTAGTCTATGAGTCTAGATGCGACCTTGGTGTCCCTCCCATAAAATGCTGGTGACTGTACCCCCCCCCCCCCCCCCACCTCCTGAAAAAATGACTGGCTACATGCCACTGTTATAGACCGAAACAGGAACAGGTCTGAGGTTCAGGATTGATATAATTACGCTCACGATAAGACAAACAATACAGATGTAGGGTACAATCTTGATTAGACTTTTAAACTTGTTTTATGTCCATGTTGTTATTCATGACCTTTTCAGCGTTAAAGATAACCGATAAAAGTATCAAAAGTCAAGAGGTCCTTTGCGAGTCAAAGTTGACTAAAAGGGAATGTACAACATTTGCTTTTGCTGCAATTTTTAGAAATAAATGGATTTGGAGGATTAGTATGTTATAGCAAATATTGTTACACTGACTTGTTTCACGTTTAGGGTTCGTAGATGCTGGAAAAACCAAGAAACCAATCATATTCTTGTAGTCTGGTTTCCTGACCCCACTTACGATGAAACGGAGCAATTTATAGACTTTGGGGAATTGTAAGATAAGAGAATCAGTCTAGCAGGCTTGTACCTCTTCACAGGTGTGTAATCAATTGCATAGAAAATACAGACGAACTAAATATGAAAAATTAGGAGCACTTTTTGGAAAAAAGCCAGTTTTCTCCAACGCTGGTCGGCCGACCAGTGTTGGAAAAATACTATTGTTCTTGAAAATGTCAGCACACCAGGAGCCACAACTTTACAGGTTGCTTTAGACTGTCATTCCCTAATAATCCAGTAAGGTATTTCGTGATAATTTGATCATTTCGTTTTTTGATGTTTGCAAATGTTGTATCTTCCCTTTAAGCCGCGTCCAGATCACTTGGCTTATTATTTATTTTTTATTTACCCTTGTCTGTTGGAGCCTCAAATATATATATGTAATAGTAAAGCAGTAGCCCAATAGCACGGACGTGGACTTTAAATATGGAGTACACAATATCATTTTAAATCGATCCCTATTTTATTTTACGTTGAATCTGCAGACTGAGCACAAAAAACCCACTTCTTCATATAAAATGTTGCATGCTTTGAGTGGTGAGGTGAACTTAGCCTCTCATGGTAGGCCTTATTCGTTGCGCTTTCTATAATGAAAACAGTTTGTTATGGAATCTTGTGGGAGCTGGAATCCTTGGCTCTACGTTTTGATATAGGCCTACACAGGTGTTATTATAGGCTTAAGTAAACCCTGAGACTTATATGAACACCGTTTACAAACATTCAAAAATGAAACTGTCAACATATCTCATGGAATATTCTACTTGAATGCAAGTTAAAAAAAATATAAAATAATATAAACATGCATCATGTAAAATCGTTACGCTTAGTATGATGTCATTTTCAAGAAAAGAGGAATTACAATCATTTCAATACGATGGTTAGGACATTAATGGGACCGTACCATCGCGCCGTTACAATATGTAATTAATTTATAATTATACTGACGGTATTTTACGTACGACTGACGATAAGGCCAAATAATGGTCAGCGCGCGCGTCGATTTTAATCATGCGCGTCGATCTTTTTTTTTTCCAAAATGTTCCGCGGTAGCTCCAACAGCGCCCTCTATTTCCGCACCTCCTCAATTTTTTTTACCAAAGAGCACCAAGGAATGGGAAATTGCACCAAGGCAAATGATCGAAAGCACCAAGGCAAATTATGGAGGACACCAATGTACATGAGGACACCAAAAAAGCAAAATAGTACCCACCTTGTCTGTACAATCCAAGCTTGAAGAAAAAAAAAAAAAAGCAAAAAAAAAAAAAATAAAGCCGCGTGGCCGCGTCAATTCCGGAACTTTGGTCTGACCAGAGACCGAATATATATATTTTTTTGGCCTAACGTCTAAAAGTCAAAACGAGGTAACTTCGTAGGCGAGAGCAACGAACCGTGCATATTTCCTCCTGCAGTCCGACACAATGTCGCTGTCACATAAAAATCCGACTCCTATGAAAATCGGACCCCTATTTCCCTATTATTGGTTGATACCTCGTACGTGACAGGTCACTCTCCCGAAACGATCCTAAAAATAGCATAGTATCATACTCACGCGTGCGCAATACTACCAATGAGTCCACATTTCATTGAGTCGGATATTCACGCTACACCGGATCACCGTAATTAGATCATGAGCATGATTGTTATACAGTATTGAATACTGTATTTTCATTGGCCTAGAACGATCACGTGTTCATTTGAAAAGTCATAGCACACTCCCTGTGGGATATGACGTACGTGCACCCCACAGGGAGTGTGCACACCACCATGAACCTGTAAATTAGTGCGCGCGAGCTCATTCATATTTTGTGCCCCCCCCCCCAGTTACTTTTGAATAAGAGGTCTTTGCGGCCTATTGGGATGGATTGTAGAAACATTTATGTAAATCAAGTATTTGTGACTTGTGGTTTCAAACTCGGGCGATTTTATTCGGAAAAAAATCCGGACTTGTGAGTCTATTTTGCATAGAGGCGGGGGTAACATTTAGACCTGGGCCCAGGGATTGGCAACCGTTTTAGGGGTGGTTTTGGGGGAGGGGAATAAAAAAAATTACATTCTCTGTGCTGGGGGTGGTGTTAGAATTTAAAAAAAGAAGGAATCTCTTTCTTTATATTACTCATTGACTTAAACAAAACCAATGATGAATAGGCAAACAAACATTGTAGCATTATTAGAGATCAGTGGTTAAGTGTCGATTTGACAAACTATCAACAGTCCAGGCCATGGTTATGATGCAAGGTTCATGCCTGTTTTACTCGAGCGGGTCGGTAGCGTATTTTTGGCTGAGATTTCCACCATCCTTTAATAATATATCACAAACCAAACTCAGTTTATGATCTGCCGAATTCAGATTTCGGTCGCAGGCAATGTAGAAATCTGTCAATCTGTAGAGGCTTTGAAAATTTTTCAACAGACTAGATGAAAAGTAGCTGAAGACGTATATAGATAGGGATAGCCTATCCATGTAAATATTGGGGAAAATATAAAGTATTTAAAATGTGAACAAGTAGGCCTATATTGACTGGAGCGGGGGTTGAATCTGCGACCTCCGGCTGGATTGCGAAATTGCTCCATCTATATAGGTGAGTAGCCCTGGGCGGATCCAGAAATCTTTTGCAGGAGGGGGTTTCATCAGCAAATATGCTGAAATGTAGACAGGTTTTTTTTTTCTCCGGACACTTGGCCTCCGTAAAATCAAAGGGGGGGGGGGGGGCTCGTAGCATACTTTCAATGGGAGTGCTGTTCAAATCCGACGACTATGAACACTCTATTACAGAATAGCGTACGAAAACCCCCGTACCCCAGCTAATTCAGTCCACATGTGCACAAATGGACATTATGGTCACAATATTCACGGTTCGTTGCTCTCGAGGTCGGAGGTTCAAATCCAACTTCAGTCGATTTCTTTGTTCAACTTTTAAATTATTATGTACCTAGTCAGTTTCCCTCGTGATTTATTTGATTATTACCAAAAATACTATACTTAAATACATTCCGTTATTACCGTTTGTCTCTAGGTTGTGGACAACCATGTTGCGCCAGAACTCACTTTGCTGACCTATCTACGCGCAAAATGTATCCTTTTAGAAAAATAAACTGCTAAAATAATATACCAGCTACACATTCAACTGCTAAAATAATATACCAGCTATACATTCAACTGCTAAAATAATATACCAGCTATACATTCAACTGCTAAAATAATATACCAGCTATACTTTCAACTGCTAAAATAATACACCAGCTATACATTCAACTGCTAAAAATAATATACCGACTATATATTCAACTGCTAAAATAATATACCGACTATAAATTCGCGGTTATAGCAACAGAAGCAGAAGCGGAGAAAGCATGCTGGGGCAGCAACATAGCATCAACATGCAGAAGGAAAAGCAACTGAAAAAACGCTAGCAGCAGCAACATCAGCAGCAACAGCACTATAGCAGCAGATAGCAGCAGTTATCGGGGCAGCAGCCTAACAACAGCAGCCGCAAGCAGCTAGCAGCAACTATAGCAGCAGTAGATATAGCAGCAAGAGCAGCAGATGCAACAGCAGCTAGCAACAACTACATATAGTAGCAAAAGCTAGCAGTATTAATAAAGTAGCAGCAACAGCACTGGAGCAGCACCAACCGACAACCGACAACCGACAACGGCAGCTAGCAGGCAGCTAGTTAGCAGCAGCAAAATACATATAAGCAGCCGAAGCAGCTCCAGCTATAACTTCTTCAGCTGTTGCAGAAGAGGTGGAGTTTGGTTGCAGTAGCTATGGTATTTGCTGCACATAGAAGGACGAGTAGAGAGTAACAGATTTTTGTGACACGGCTCGAATCATCAAAACGGGCCAAGGTTGAGTAAGTGAAAAGGTATTCGGAGTTTAGATGGTTTTTTTCTGGGTCTATAATGTGTCATCAGCAGCCCTCGAGACCAGTAAAATCAATATAGCAATGACTCGAGTTGATTTAGCTGCCAACAATCGCGAGTCCAGTCTAACTCGACCTCAATCACTTGACTCGAATTGATTCGTCACAACTCACTTGCAAAAGCGACAACATGCTGCGTTCAATATGTGGTTTAAATACCCAATGGGCCTTTTTCACGAGTCCGCCATGTTGAATTGAGAGTGAGGTAAAATCCTCATTGTTGGAAATTGCGAAGAGAAATGAAAGCAAGTACATTACAAAATAATTCAAGTCTGCTTCAGTGAATAATTTAAAACTTATAATTAAACATTCCCTAATGTTTTAAGCCAGATTTAAAAAAAAAAATGAAAGCAAAATAAGGCTGCATAAATAGTCTGGCGCCATCGCATTCAACAGTTAACAATTTATGAAATACATTTAGGGAACAAGACAAAAATGGCTACCTCGTGAATAAGGTCCATTGTCATCCATTCATCAACGAGTGAAGAAAAGTTCTATCCTGAATGACGATACAAAGTGCTTCTGACTGGAAGTAAGCTGGGATGCGGTGAAGGAGGATGCGGGGCGTGTACGGTAATGCTGTCCAGGTACTCCCCTGAGAACCAAACCATCAGGTACTTAGTATTCTTTTTATCCTTTAATAACGGTATACCCAATCTACTTTTAGCATTTGCAAGAGGACAATTGTTGGTCGCTTAATTGTTATTGTCATTCTCTTTGGGATTATCTTCAAATCGGCTCCACATGATTGGTGTTATAGCCACCAAATTTCTTGCATTGTAGAAAATAGACTTTATGTTTTCTATTTTTATATACCTTATGGATTGTATAATTATCCTATATTACAAACGTATATCCCAAGAGTATTATGTTGATGTGATTGTTGGATTTGGAGTAAATTTCAAAATGGAACAGAAACCCCTGCATTATTTGCCCACTCTACACGGTTGAATCATGTACACCTATTGTTTGTGAAGGCCCAAGACAACAGGTGAAAACATTGTTAAGATTTTACTTTGGTATGTACCTTTCCAGTCACCGTGCAATCAATGCCTGCCTTACCCCTATCTGCTATGTGCACGGCATGGCAGTCACCACTATTGAAGGTATCGGAAGCACAAGGACTAGACTACATCCAGTGCAGGTATGTTGCAGTGCGAAAAAATTTATGATGCGGCTAATAGTACCTTGGTATAGCCGTACTCGGGAACTTTGTTGAAATATCACTTTACTGTTGTGAAATTTGCTGCATCAAATTGCACGGGTTTTCTTCTCATCTCGCAACATAGCAACCAATGTCCTTTTCAGAGGGTCCTTGGATGCTTGCTAAAATTAACATTACTTAGTCCGTATACAATTAAGTTCAGGATATTAAAATAGCATGTCTCATCATTCGACCTATACAGGAGCGCCTAGCTAAGGCCCACGGGTCTCAGTGTGGCTTCTGTACTCCTGGCATTGTTATGTCTATGTACACCCTGCTGAGGAACAGACCACAGCCTACTATGGAGGAGATTGAGAGCGCCTTTGAAGGGAACCTGTGTCGATGTACGGGATACCGTTCCATCCTGCAGGGATATAAGACCTTCACTATGGTCAGTTTTATTGTTTTCTATCCAAAAACATTAATGAATGAAAAAAAAAAAACAGTAGTTTGCCACGGAAATTTGTAGTAATCTTTTTTCAAAGAATCTTAATCAATGGTGCATTTTTGCATAAGCCTTTTCGCACACTTTTCTTACAACAAAGCGGTGGGATAAGTCTACCACCGAAATTGTATAACTTATAAACGGTTTGATTTTGACGGATGTTTTACATCGATAATTTTTTGATATCATGAATGACTCAGATAATGTACAGCTTGTTCGTGTATAACAATATAGTGTGCATCATGAAAATACACTTTTTACTATCTTTGAAACATTTTTTTAAAAGATGAGCAAATAAAGGAGATCAATTTGAATAACGGTATCAACCACTTACTGGTTTTATAGGAAGGCTGCTGCGGTGGCAGTAACGGCAATTGCTGTATGGATCAAAATCGCAGTGGCTACAATGAAGTAGAAGAAGGCGTAAGTCTGCTAGGCTCTACTATGCTCTACATTATCTTGGTTTGAAAACCCGATACATCTTTTAAATCAGTTTATTGACAGTTTATTGACAAAATAATGGTAACTTTCTTGATTATTATTTTCAGCATTTTGCACATAGCGAGAAAACCAACATTCTTTCAGTAAAGCAAAGATGGCTGCCCGACCTTTTGTTGTTGTGTATACATTTTAAACGAATGTTTACGTAAATATAGGTATACATAATATATGGTTGCATTTAATCTAATTGGTAAATACCGTTTTGACCGGGGCCTATGACGCTCTTTTTATTCGACTACCAATTCCAACACGATTCATATATTCTTTATCTCGCTGAACTACAGAACATGATTGGTGTTAGATCTAACATTGCCTGTTCTTTTTTAATTAATGGAGGTTTGTTGTAATTCATCATCAGGTTTCCACTAGTTTGTTTGATCCGACTGAGTTCACACCATACGACCCTTCGCAAGAACCAATATTCCCTCCGGAGCTCATGGTAAATACCCTTCCAAAAGACATTTATTTCAGCCTAACCTGGAAGTTCATCAACAGAGATTTTATGAACTAAAAGGTTAAATTAGTTTTGCTCACGGAATCAAAACAATACACGTCAAAGAGAATGGCTTCGCAATGCATAGTATAGTAAGTGGACAAATGGGGCCCAAATGCATTTTCTTTGAAACTCTCATGATCACCTACGGACACCTCAACAAGTTCTAAATTCTAACTTCAAATTTGTTATCTAATGCAAACAAGTCTCGACATATGACTCTCCGTTTGGACTTATTTCGCCACTTTCTCCAAACGGATGCCTCGCCCACTAAAAAGGTCAGGGGAAAAATGGGTTTCAATTGTACATCTTCGTTTCGGCTCAAAATACAATGCCCCGTAAACACACCTCTGGTGGTAGAAAAAAATGGCATCAAGTGGATTTGGGTTTAAATATAATGTTTCATCAATAATCCCTGACATTTTCAAAGAAAGAAAGGGTACCCGAAACTGCATATGGGAGATGGTTTTTGACCATAAGCCAACTGACCAGTAGTCATTGTGGTACAATCACTATTGTGAGTGTGAATCGAGATAATGTCCATATGCATTCTTTGCTGGACGCAAATTTAAAAGATTTCCAAATGTTGATCATCGACAATTAATGCTAGCTTCTTGGGATTGTTGTTTGTTGATACCTCTCTTTTGTCTGATGCAGATCATGCAGAATGACTCACCCACCAAAATACTGAAGTTCGTTGGTGATGAGGTGACTTGGTTTCGACCAGTCACGATGCAAGAATTGCTTGACCTCAAGGTTTTGTACCCTGAAGCTAAGATGGTGGTTGGGAACTCAGAAGTTGGTGAGTGTTTTTAAGACGGATGCATGAAAAAAAAAACACCTTTCATAACATAATAACATCGAGAAAGCACGTGTGTTTAAATCGAAGACAATAAACTAGTTTATAATCAGTTGTAATACTTCATTTTCATCTCAATGGCTGCATTTTTCCTCAACCAAACTGACTGAGGACGCAGTTTCCAGGATGAAATAAAAAATGAAGTTGGTTAAGGAGACGGACCAGAATTTACATAAATAAAATTCTACCATCATAGTATGTGAATCACTTTCTACGAAATTTGTGTTGGCACTGATTTCAGGTGTGGAGGTGAAGTTTAAGAATCAGGAGTATCCTGTCTTGATCGATGTCAATCATATACCCGATTTGACTAAAATCGAGACCACGCCCACTGGAATCAGAGTGGGGGCATCTGTGTCTCTGACGTCACTCAATGAGTACCTTCAGAATGTCGTACTTACCCAACCAGGTAAAGTAAGGTCAGACCGTTATTACTTTTTGGAGAAATCAGCAAAGCTCAAACACAACATCTAGTATCCGCTCCGTTCACAAGTACCCTCTTACCGGCAAAGAAAGTACAGTTGAGGGTGACCGACCGACGCCATCTTGTCTGACTGAAATTTTGCCGCGACGCGCGTATTTACCACTGCGCGTGTACATAGTACAAATCCCCTGGTGTACGTGCGTCACACACAAGGAACGGTGCGCGTCGGCAGCTAAATGTCCTGCACATGGGACGTCGTTGCTAGGTAAAAGGGCGCCCTCTTTGTTGGCGCACGGAGCCCATAAGAACCGGTCCCGTTTTTAGCCCTTAACTGAATTGCAGACACAACACTGAGTCCGCACCTCGGTTTCTCAATATTCAGAACCTATAGCGTTTGAAATACCGTGTAAACATCGAACGTTAAGTGAAGTCACCACAGCGATCACAACTCAATCACAACCCATCTAGTAGTTTAAAAGCTATTCAAATTAGCTGTAGTAACTTCCTTGTCATTTGTCGTCCCGTGTTGGTGATCCGATACACCGTGCCCTTTGGAGACATGCACACAATAGGGAACAAGTTGAAGATTGTATACGTCTCCACAGGGCAATTTCTATAGATGAATACGTCTCCACAAGGTTTTCACAAAATAGATATATGGATTTTACTCAAAACTAGGAATTTCCAAGGTACGTTGATTTGTCGCAAATGGTAGAGTTTTAGAAAAGGGATATTAAGTCCGAATTTCAGTAAAGGAAATTAATTCTGGTTAAAATAAGAGCATTTTAAAACTGTACTTCCAAACTCGAAATCTTTAGTACACGAGAACAAAGAAATGTCTCCACAAGGATACAAATTTCAGTATACATGACCTGACTTGGACTATGATTGACTTGATTTAGTAGATGACCAAACGGTATTATGTAAGATGCTATTATTCCTTGTTTCACCGCCATGTGACTTCATTGATTGGTTGTTTTCATTTGTCTCTTCGTCTCTGAGCAGAACCTAAGACCCGGGTGTATGCAGCAATTGTGGAGATGCTTCGCTGGTTTGCCGGGCACCAGATCAGAAACGTTGCCGTAAGTAGGCCTATAATTATACTGACGTTAGATCTGACAACAAAACTCCAATCTCCGTTATACCTTCGAGGCCACAGTTACGAAAGTAACGTTCTAGCCTATATAGGCTGTGTTTGCATTCTAACATTTTTGTGTGTGTTTATTTTAGTCTCTGGGTGGTAACATAGCAACTGGCAGCCCCATATCTGATCTGAATCCTCTGCTGATGGCCGCAATGTGCAAACTCCAACTCACATCCAAAAGAGGTATGATCACACAAGGATCAATTTGCAAGATCATCGAAAAATGATGGAAGCCGAATAACGTCAAAGCCTGATGGGAACGTTATGTTGCTTCCTGCTTCTTTTGAGGAAAAACACTCGAACCATTTGGCCTTTCCCTATGATCCAAAATGATCGTGCGCAACAAATAACCTTCCTCAATTGAAAGGTTGTAAATTGTAAATCTTGACTTACTAAAAGAACATTTTGTTGGCAAAATCCATTGAAAAAGTTGAGAAAGAGAAAGTAGCCGAAAACGTTTGTCGATGATGCGCTACCTTTAAATCGGTTGTTCTCAACCGTTAGGATTTTTCTTTGTAAACAAAAAAAAGTAAGTATGTCACGAGCAAATGTGGCCCATCATGCCGGCGTTTGTCTCCGGTTTCAGTAGCATGAAACGATTGAGAATATTTCTATTCCCCCTGGATGGGATGCCAGTCCATCGCAGGGTACTCCCCAGATAATGCCGGTACCCATTTATACTCCTATGGGTGGAGAGAGACAAGTGGGGTGAAGTGGCTTGCCCAAGGACACAACATATGGCCGGCAGCTGAATTCGAACCCCTGACCCTCTGATCATGAGTCACGAACCCTATTCCACTAGGCCACACTCCCCCACATTTTTCTTTGTGCTATATCGTATTTGTCATTTTCATATTAGGTACACGCACTGTTAAGATAGACGGCAATTTCTTCACCGGTTACAGGAAGAGCATTATCGGCAACGATGAAGTCGTCCTGACTGTTGACATTCCGTTTACAACTGGGGTAAATTGACAAAGGACTGTTTAAAATCTTTTAAACCATGGTAGTGAAAATGTAAAATGCAACCGTAACTCTCAACATTTGGATTTACACCCGTCACTGACGTGATTTCACTTTAACACTGGTATTGTCCGAGGGCTTGCGAAGAAAAGAAAATCACAAGCATCACCGGATAGGATTCGAACCCACAACCTCCTCCTTACAGTGCAGACGTCTTATCACTTGACCTCTAAGCTTTGTAGGGTCTGTTGGCTTGTTCGAATCCGATATAGCAGCGAGTACAACAACCAGTTACTATATATTGATGGAATTTTGCGTTGGGGAAATGTAAGTTCAAAAGGCAAAAATTGAAAGGGTAATTCAAATGTGAAGAGCAAAACTAATATTGAATTTAGACATCACCTTGACGAAAACTTCCATCCTAAGAATGTGACCAAAATCTCAAAATCAGCGTCAATAAGTGCATTTAGTGCAGCTTAAAAACATACGCCCAGCTAAGTGGTATAACACGGTATAGAGCCGTGACACCCGAGGCAATGCACCTGTTCAAGGTAACATCTGAAAAGAAATTAACTAGCAAATTTCAATTCCCTGTGATGTTCTGGTGAATTTTAATTAACTATTTCAAAAGTTGCCTTTAAATACAGGGTGAGTCAAAAAAAGCGAAACCCAAATGTCGGGACCATTGTTTAAGTGAATTTCTGCATGTAGCCCTTTCAAAATCTAGGATACGAAAGCCCAATTCGTAAGCTTTTTTTAGTACAAGAAACATTCAAATCACTCATGTACTTTTCAAGTTACGGAATTTTAAACACAACCACCGTGTTTTATAGTTCTGTCCACGGATCAACAGAAGGTAAGTGTTCTTACAGCAAAACGAAAACAAATCACATATAGTATAGTATATTATGTCACATTTTTGACCTTTGCATTTTTTTTTGCTAAAGAAGGAATTTTTGTCATATTTGGGTAGAGTTTACCTTCCTGAGCCAGAAATCCATTGGTAACATTTTTTCCATCTACCATGTGGCGGCCATCTTGGATTTCAAAATGGCGTCCATTTCGGACCTAATTCGTATCATAACTTCGGACCTGATTGTCACATGAAGTCCATTTTGGTGGCAAACCCTATGTTTTTGATACCAAGGAACCCAAGTAAGGTGTTGTTGATGGGGTACTCCCAATGGATGGCGGCCATCTTGGATATTTCAAAATGGCCGCCATTTAGTACCTAATTTGTATCATAACTTCGGACCTGATTGTCATTTGAAGTCCATGTTGGTGGCAAACCCCATGTTTTTGATACCAAAGAACCCAAGTAAATCAATGTTGACGGGATACTCCCAATGGATGGCAGCCATCTTGGATATTTCAAAATAGCCGCCATCTTGGATTTCATTTGAATATTAACGTTGCACCTGAATGTCGTACGAAGTCCATTTTGGGTTGCAAACGTCATATTATTGATACCAAGGAACCCAAGTAAATCATTGTTGACGGAGTACTCCCAATGGATGGCAGCCATCTTGGATATTTTGGTGGCAAACCCCATAAGTTTGATACCAAGGAATCTACACATTGTTACCCCGATGGATGGCAGGTTTCTGTATGTTTCAAACCACATGGAATAATACTTGGAGTGTAATTATCTCATGGGCACCAACAGCACGATCATAATGACTGCTGGATATGATTGGACTGACTGTACTACCTGACTGTACGGATCAGAAGCAACCCATGCAGACTTGGTCTAAACCACTTTGTTCAACCGTCTTTCCCAGGCACCTGATAGCACAGAAATTGGTGTGAATCAGAATTGTAACGAGTCACAAATTTTTGTGACTCGAGTCGAGTCAAGTCATTTTAAAGAAGTGAGTCAAGTTGAGTCATTAGTTGAATTTGAGTCGAGTCGGGTGGAGTCAAATGTTTACCTGGAGTCAATTTGAGTTACGAATATTTGAAAACTACACAACAAAGACAAGAGAGAAAGTCATTTGTATCACTAACAGTTAACAAGAAGTGAAACTTCGATCTTATAAAGGCTATCTGGTTGGGCTTCGGGTCTAGATTTTATTCGCTGATACGCTGACATCCAAACCAAATTGCATTATACAAAACTGTTTCTGATTATTTAAGAGTCGGTATGTTTCTATTTAATTTTTAAAAGGAGGGCATAAATTTAGCCGGCGTTCGTATCCAAGAACTTTATAAGAAATTGCCCAAAGCCAATGATGAAACAACAAATTGGAAAATGTGTTTAAAATCCGGTTCCTCGGTGGATAGTATTTTGTGCGTTCCAGAATGATGATGTGGTATAGGAGTCTGTGACACGTGGACATTAGAAGCGGCCGCTGTAACTTTATTTGCAAAGCGGCATGAACATAAATGTTGCATCGTAAAGTCAATGCAATAATTTTTCGCAAAGTTTTGCTTTTATATAGGACTCGAGCCTAAATATCCTTCGCTCGAGTCGAGTTGAGTCTTCTGATGAGAACTCGAGTCGTTTGCTCGCCGTCGAGTCGAGTCATTTACCCTTAGGGACTTGAGTCGAGTCAAGTCACCAAAAGTTGTGACTCTGCTTTCATATCTAGCCTAGCCACGACAGGACCAGGGTTGTCTGGGCATGTGATGCAGTTGATGCAGAGAACCACTTACGAACAAAAATAAATGCAGGCACACACATAACCTGAAGTGGACTTACTAATTGCTAACTATAGACAGCATTCACACGTACTGGTAGTGGAGCGGCATAGCCCCAATAATACCAAGAATTGTGCAATCTGCGATAAAATTATGAATTAAACTTCGCATGTTGGTTCTTCATGCCTTGAAGACAATTTTTAGATATACGAGGCATTTCATATTTGACTTCTGGTGACCTTTGACAGTCAACAACCTTTAACAATTATTCTTCAAAACTTCACTTTCCTATGATATCTATCATATTTATTCCATAGTCATGTATTGAATTCAGACCCAATGCACAAAAAATGTTGAGGTGACCTCTGAACTCAATTTTCTTTTTCTTTTTTATTAGTGGCAGACTCAACATGCTGCGATTGGAATGCAATGGAATATATTAACAAATGTCAAGCAGCATTCATTATTTTGTTCTTATAACACTTTGCTATCCAGATGGACTTGGGTAACCACATTTTTAACCTTTTTACACAGCCCACTAGCTGGTCACTGTTAGAGTGTGATGCTTGTCCGATGTACCTCTTATATTCTTAAAACAGGGAAATGGAGATCAGAGGTCATGACAAAATTGTCTTTGGGTCTGAATCGTAACATACTATAGAATAATTGTTAAAATACACTTCTTTTTCACTATTAAGACTTACACACATGTCATGAAAAGTGGCATTGGAAGATTAAATAAATAGCGGCATTTGGGGTATACAAAGTTCATTGGGAAAAGATGTTGCATCTTGACATCACTTTTTTTTTCATCATATATCATCTCAATGAAGGTAAGTCATTAAAAGTGTTGAAAAGACATTTCCAATTTTGTTAGGAAAATACTTAAAAAACTTTCTTGACTCTCCATAGACTTTGTACACAACCGCTGAAGTGGCACCTGGATTCTACATTCTTCCCATTCATTGACCCTTCACAAAGGTCACCAGGGGTCAGATATGAAATGCTTCCATATCTGAAAATTCTCGTCAAGGCATGAAGACATGACATGCCAAGTTTAACCACAAAGTGCACAATTCTGTCACTATGCCGCTCTAATATTGCCAATAATTCACAATCCAGTCCACGAATGGTCAACACTTGTCACCGTGGCTATAGAGACCCATTAAAAACTGAACTGCAAAATGGCGCTCATTCTGAAATATCCAAGATGGCTGCCATCCATTGGGGATACCTCATCAATAATGTATTTTTTTAATTCCTCGGTATCAAAATTATGGGGTTTGCCACCAAATGCAACATACGTTATTATTAAAATGAAATCCAAGATTATTTTGAAGTATCCAAGATGGCTGCCATCCATTAGTCTACCCCATCAAATTTGATTTACTTGGGTTCCTTGGTATCGAAAACATACGGTTTGCCACCAAAATGGACTTCATACGACATTCACTTGCAACGTACGTTATTATTGAAATGAATCCAAGATGGCGGTTATTTTGAAGTTTCCAAAATGGCTGCCATCCATTGGGACTACCCCGTCAGATTTGATTTACTTAGGTTCCTTGGTATTGAAAACATGGGATTTGCAACCAAAGTGGACTTCATGTGACAATCAGGTCCAAAGTTATGATAGAAATTTGGTCCGAAATGGCGGCCATTTTGAAATATCCAAGATGGCTGTCATCCATTGGGAGTACTCCGTCAACAATGATTTACTTGGGTTCCTTGGTATAAACAAAAATAGGGTTTGCCACCAAAATGGACTTCATATGACAATGAGGTCCGAAGTTATGATACAAATTAGGTCCGAAATGGCAGCCATTTTGAAATATCCAAGATGGCTGCCATCCGTTTGGAGTACCCCATTAACAATGATTTACTTGGGTTCCTTGGTATCAAAAATATAGGGTTTGCCACCAAAATGGACTTCATATGACAATCAGGTCCGAAGTTATGATACAAATTAGGTACTAAATGGCGGCCATTTTGAAATATCCAAGATGGCCGCCATCCATTGGGAGTACCCCATCAACAACACCTTACTTGGGTTCCTTGGTATCAAAAACATAGGGTTTGCCACCAAAATGGACTTCATATGACAATCAGGTCCGAAGTTATGATACGAATTAGGTCCGAAATGGCGGCCATTTTGAAATCCAAGATGGCCGCCACATGGTAGATGGAAAAAAATGTTACCAATGGATTTCTGGCTTAGGAAGGTAAACTCTATCCAAATATGACAAAAATTCCTTCTTTAGCAAAAAAAAATGCAAAAGTACATAACAGCCTTTACTAATAGCTGTGTGTGATTTTTTTCGTCTTGCTGAAAGAGCGCACACCCTTTTTATGTTCCGTGGACAGAACTTTAAAACGGTGGTTGTGTTTAAAATTCCTTAACTTGAAAAGTACATGAGTGATTTGAATGATTCTTGTACTAAAGAAAGCTTATGAATTGGGCTTTTGTATCCTAGATTTTGAAAGGGCTACATGCAGAAATTCACTTAAACACTGGTCCCGACATTTGGGTTTCGCTCTTTTTTTTACTCACCCTGTACTGTCTGGTGTGACTTGGCCGTTAAGGTCATATAGGATCATGTGTATTTATCCCAAAAGTAACTTACCGAATTATGAACGAAAAAAACTTACCTGGATTAAAGATTGAACTGGTACTAAACACCCCGTGAAATTATTCTGTCTGGCTTGCTGTCATTTAGAAGAAATCAAGAAATGTAGGTGATTTCCAACTATCAGTCTATTGACTGATTGTTTTGAAATAAAGAGTTCTATTGACGAAATCGTGTTTCGTGCTCGAAAGGTTGTGCATGAGTTTTCACTGTTTTCTCGAAAAGTGTCATATCCAGTGAGCTGACGCTTCAACAGGTTCGGCTTTGAACATTTTATCTTGGATTATGAGTAATGTTATTATTGAAAGCGAACAAAATGCACAAAACGCAAATGATCCTATATGCCTTAAGTATTAATTCCTCTATCATGACAGAACGAGTATTTCTACGGATACAAGCAAGCCCTTCGCCGCGTAGATGATGTGGCCATAGTTAATGCTGGCATGAGGGTAATCTTGGAGCCTGGTACTAACGAAGTACAGGAGTGTCGGCTGGCGTACGGTGGCATGGCTGCAACCACGGTGCTGGCTAAGAAGACCATGGAGAAAATTAAGGGAATGTGAGTTGACCTTTGCTAATGCTGAGGGGGAAAATCGGAAGGGATCGTCATTTTGTTTGATTGCTCATAGCCGAAAAATACATTAATACTACCTCTAAGATATAGTTTTAACAATTACCAAAACCACTGCAATAAATTTAGTCAATTTAATCCAAACACCATAATGATAATCTGATAATACATTTGGTGTAAATGTAACTTTGCTGTCAGCTTAATTGTCACTTAGTCACTTCTCACGCTTTGCCATTTCGGTGGTATTATAATGATTTCCACAATATCTTTAAAACAATTACCTTGTGCAGCCTAACAGTTGGTAAAGAATTGCACAGTAAAAAAAAAATCCGAATTGGTATGACCGTGTGCACGAACGCCAACGAAACATATTTTTTTATGAGAACAGAAACCTGAAGTCAAAGACATATTCAACCACATTCGACCACCGGTACCGTATCAGATGATCGAAAGGAGCAATGCTCACAGTGCTTTTTGGCAAGGTATGCACATCTAGAGTTGGAAAGTGTGTGATAGCTTTACAAGTGTGAGCGGTGGCATGCAGTTTTTTGGTTGTTATCACTTTCAATTTTTTTTCAAAATGGCCGCCAATATGCTTGTTACCGGATTAATTATATGTGGTAACAAGGATGTTTTGGCCGCCATTTTTCTTTCAAAAGTGATAGCACCCAAAAAGCTGCCACCGCTGCAATGCTATCACATATTTTCCAACTACAGGGTTGCACACCTTGCAATAATAAGCATTATTATTTGATACCGACCAAACCCCCAGGCTGATGGCTAGTAGTAGAGCATCGAGCGCGCAAACTTAGTACATGTAATATCCCCTATTAAACGTGGTCGCCGAATTATTAGCCTACAGTGATAATAGCATTCAAGTGATGAAACATCAATTAAATGACAGGAAATGGGCTAACGGTTTGATGGAGGCGATGAGCCCATTACTGTTGGAAGATCTACCCCTACCTCCCGGTGCACCGGGCGGTATGGAGCCCTATCGCCAGTCACTCACACTCAGCTTCTTCTTCAAATTCTACCTGGCCGTCCTAGAACAGATCAACTTAAAGTTGGTGAGTCACGACGACTCAAGAGCAATCTGCTGATTTTCATATTTTCGTCATTGGGAACTACATACATGTGTATTAGGTTTTTGTGTGTTCTCGTCATTCAGTTTTCAGACAGTTTCTGATATATAGGCAGGCTGAAAAACACTCCACAAACTTTTGCAACATCCGAAACAGTTTGCACACTGCAAAAACTGTGTTTAGCAATTCAACACTTTTCTAAACACTTTTGTTTAAATACTAAACATGTTTAGCGTAAGGATGGATAGTGTTTAGCAATTGAACATTGATGTTTAGGAATTAACCAAGTAATGTTTAGCTTCTAAACGTGTTTACAAAGTGATAGCAAGATTGTGTTTAAGTATGCCAAAAACATGGTTGTACAGTGTGGCAGTTGTATTGAATAAATATTGATTTTGGTGTTTAATACTTTTATTCAGCCTGGATTGAGTGGTTCAAGTATTCCAAGATCCTACAAAACAGCCAATCAGCGCCTTCATACGAACCCGGCAGTGGGAGTACAAATGTATCAGGTAATATTTCTTATGTACAAAAGAAATATTTAATTAAATTTAGCACATCATATTTTCAAATACCAGTGACGATATGAATGATGAACTGTTTCATCGCATATTATTTTACTGCATGAAAATTGGTTCTCTTGAACAGCAAAGTTTGGGTTTAGATTTGGACTTCGTCTCCAGATTTGGCTTAATGTAATTGTCTCCTCCATCTTAGGATGTGCCATCAGGTCAGCCGGAGTCAGATGCAGCAGGGCGACCTTTGACCCATCAGTCCGCCCTCAAGCAGGTCACTGGAGAGGCTGTGTATGTGGACGATATTCCTTCCATCACAGGTTGGCATCTCATTCCTTCGTCGCAAAGCCCAGCGAACGTATAATTATAAGATATATGTGAGCCTGCGATTTTATATGCTTAACGTAGTCGATAGCCATCAACGCATCCATCAGCTACCTAACACAACGGCATTCACACTTCAATTCCGATATTAAAAAAAATGCTCATCGTCAGATCTGAGCTCCCTTCTTTTTAAATGTGGCTTAAAACATTAAGGTATGTTCAATCACAAATTTTAGATTATTCATCAGAGCGGACTGGTTTTAATTTGTAATGAACTTTTATATCATTGCTTTCATTCCTACTCGCAAGTTCCAAAAAATAAGAGTTTGCCTCGCTGTCAATTTAATATGGCCGATTCGTGAATAAAGTCTATTTACTGATAGTAGCGCGAACAACGGTCCATTACATTACGACGAACGAGGATATTGGACAGTCGATCGCGCGGATCCAACGTTTATGCCCAGCTGGCCTGGCTGCAGGCGCCAAGCTCGGTTACTTAACTTTATCCATGCCCTCGGTAAAAAAAAATCCCAAGTCAAAGTGCGAACCCTGGTAAGATTTTATTTACTCAATCGAATTTTTACATCTTTAGAATTTACCCAAAAAATGTCCAATGCGAATATTGCTTAAGGTTGATGCCACAGAATACCAAGTAATTCATCTATTTACAAAGTCAATATGACTTTCTTTTCAGTACGATACACATTTCAGAACATCAACATTATGAAAGGAAGTCTTGTATTTTTTCATTATAACTCCATACAGGTGAATTTTACCTGGGTGTGGTCTTGAGCAAGAAGGCCCATGCCAAGATCATGTAAGTTTCTCCTGTTTTTTTTCTACATTGGTCCCCTGAAAACTTTGCAAAACAAACTAGTCTTATTAATTTCAATTTTAGTTACAACTAATGGCCACAGACGGCCTGGGTTCACAAGACTCTCCAAAACACTTTTGAAAATGTTCGATTTTTTTTGAAATGTTGACTATAAAAAGTAACCTGTAATTGTTATACTGCAGTCATTTCACCTACTTTGTTTATGAATAAGCTCGTGCCCAAAAGCACATTTACATAAAACAATAGATATCAAATCATTTTCAATGACTTTGGCGGTGTACCACTTTGATGCATTTGCAGAGAACTGTGTCACAAAGTGGGGGGGGGGGGGGATGATCACAATTCCCCCCCTCAAAAAAGTGACCCTGAAAACATTTGCGCCTGCAAAATATTTGAAAAGCGGGGGGGGGGGGACTATTTGCAGATTGAGGGCGCTATTTAATAAAGGGTGATGAAAATTCTGGGGGATGATTGTATACACCATCCCCCTGCCCAAAAATGGGGGGGGGGGGGTATATCCCCCATCCCCCCGGATTTCCGCCCATGGTGTGATGACAATAATAACTGGACTACTTTTTGTATCTTCATGTATTTTTTAAAAGTATATATTCTTTATCGTGAGATCTATGGAATATCATTGCTCTTCCGAACCCCCAACTGTTTAATGTTCGACTCGAACAAGTGTACATTTAAAATTACGTGAATCACTCTCATTTTTGTTTTAGTTTTAGGGTCATGATAAAACAGTTTCAACGGGGTGATTTTGTCATGAATTTGCCTTCGTGACGCCATATATAGGGAGCTTAACTGATTGTGGCGCTATGAGTAGTTTAAGTAACTGAATTCCTACATTTACGTTTTCGTTGAAATGCCCGAATCCCCATTAATATTTGGTGACTTTTGCTGTTAATTGTCGAAATGAAACCAAACGTTCCATTTATTATAGCTCTGTCGATTCGACTGCGGCTGTGGCCCTGACAGGCGTCCATTCGTTCGTGGACATGAAGGATGTTCCTGGGAGCAACGCAGTGGGAGCCACTCCGGTGAAGGATGATCTGTTATTCGCTGACGGGGAGGTACAACTTCAGGAAACAAAGAAGCAAACACCCCAACCAACCAACAAACAAACAAATGAATCACATAACAAAAGCAAACTAGGTATATAGACTATTGAAACGTGACATATTGAATCAAACATGGTGATTCTCACAGGAAAAATCTAATGGCATACTATAGCTGGGGAGATTAAACTTAAGTAACCGTATTCATCAATATTCTGAAAACGATAGGTGCCTAAAAAAACATCAAAGCGACCAAAGGTGTAACTTTTGAACTGGCAATTGACCACACGGGGAGGATGTTTTTTTCTTTTCTTGATCTAAACATTAGGGTGAAAATGAAATGGCGTCTCCACAAATGGGTTTGACCCCCCCCCCCCGACAGAAAAACAAAAACGTTTAATCTTCTGGCCATGTATAAATGTATAATCATAAAATGTGAAAACATATGTATTTGATTGTATACAGGTACAAAGAATCAAGAAATGCCTACTTGGAAATAAACTACACATGCAGACATGCAGAAAAATGTGATATGATAAACAAGACGCACAAAATCGGTTACTCACGTTACATTTTCGTAACATGAGTAACCGATTGTGTGTGTCTCGTTTATCATATATAACACTTTTCTGGATGATTTTTCTGGATGTAATCTTTGGTGCTTAGGTAGGTCTAGGTCTACTCTATCTACCATGGGGATAACAGTTATTAAACCTTTTCAGTAAGGTAATTCCAGCCCAAGGAAACTCAAAAGTACATCAAAAATGTAACGTGAGTAACCGTGGAATTGCCCATATGCAAACATGTTGGCACATGAATAAGTGCCAACATGTTTGACTTGTACACTGTTGGCGTTTGAATAAACCATTTTCATTCGTTATGATCATTCCTGATTGTGATGTAGGTGACCTGTGTCGGGCAAGTTATTGCCGTGGTTGTGGCTGATACTCAGGCCATCGCACAGCGAGCCGCTCGACTGGTACAAGTTGAGTACGAGGACCTACCTGCTATCATTACCATACAGGTAGGTATAGGCACGTGGAGTAAGCTAGGAAAGTGTTTTTAGTTGGGTCATTCACATATAGGACGTCAAACAAATGAAGTGGGCGGGCCGTCATCGCGTTATGGGGCAGATATTTATTGTTAGGCAAATTAGGACCGAGTTGTGGGACTTTCTGCTGTTCCCACAGCGTTTTCGGTCCTCATAGTACCAAGAAAAACTCTCCCTTAGTCCCCATAATTACGGAACAAGAATGCGTGTGTTTTTGTGTGTAAAAATGACTTCCAAAATAATCAAAACTATTCCCTTATCGGGATAGATGGTTGCCTTTCTTCTGTTACAATTATCAGATTTTGTTATCTGATTATCATATTTGATTCTAGAATTGCATTACTATTTTCAAAACTGTATAATGTCGAAAGTCGGGTGTTATAATGGTATGATGTGGAAAACAGCCCTTAAAAGTTTAAGGCTGTAGATAAGAATATGTCAGTTCGGTAGATTAAAAAATAAACTACGGTATTTTAACAACACGTGCGCACATTAGAGAAAAAGGTTCTCAGTTTTCTTGTTCTGAAGTAAACACAAACAGCACGATGTCTAACAGTATAAACCTGTCTTATTTTCACCTTCTTTTTGCATGAAAAATTGCAAATTTGCAGATTGGAGTTTCGTTTTTTTAATTGCCCTATGACACTGTAATAACATTAACTGATGTGTTTATCAGGGATACATGAAAAGGAACGTAGGTCTAACTGCAGTCGATGGAATCCCATGAATTCCTTATATTTTACTTTCTATTGTGGAGTGCTGTGGCCTCGTGGTTAAGGGCACTGATTCGTGGTCTGTGGGTAAAGCTGCAGGTCGTGGGTTCGAGTCCTGGTGGGGGTCATGGTGCGTGTGCCCTTGAGCAAGGCACTTTGTCACTCATTGCTTCTCTCCACCCAGGAGTAAATGGGCACCTATGAGGGCGGTGATGGTTATTGTGATTGAATTAGCTTCCTTGCGCCTAACAGGCTGCATCGAGCTGTATACTCCCCAGGGAGCTGAGATGGTATATGGAATGTTTAATTGGCCCAATGATTAGGGGTAATAATAATGTAAAGCGCTTTGATCTTAGTTAAAAGCGCTATATAAGAACCTGTTATTATTATCGTAACCCACTAATCAATTGGCATAAAGAACGTTCTTTCTGTTCGTAATGTGGTCCTCTGATACTTGCACTCTACCTGTAATAACTTTAGGCCCTATTGTGAGTGAGACCTCACCGAGTTTCACATAGCTCCACTGTTACATTTTTTTCTGGTAGGATGCCATCGATCAGAACTCCTTCTTCCATGCATCTAACCTCAGCGTCAAGAAGGGCAACGTGGATGAAGCGCTGGGGACATCGAAACGCGTCTTAGAAGGGGAGATGAAGATCGGTGGCCAGGAGCACTTCTACTTGGAGACATGCTCAACTCTAGTCATTCCAAGAGAAGGGGGAGAAATCGAAGTCTTTAGTTCTACACAATGGCCAACGCTCCCACAGGTCGGTAATACGCTATTGCACAGCTGGAACTAGTAATACGCTATTGCTTATCAAGCTAAAGCAAAGATAGGCAATAAAAAGGCGCGCAGTGAATTGTCTTACAACTTGTGAAACAAGAAGGTTGAAAGAAAAGAAAGTGTTTTTTTTCCTTTGCAAGCTGTTGGTACAGAGACGTCAACGACATATGCCGAAATTTAAAATCAAGCATGTTCATATAATGTAAGGAACGTTCACTCTAAAAAGTTCCTCGTCTGATTTTACCCGGAATCCAGGTCCTGTTGGCCTAACACTTATCAGGGTCTAAATGACACATTTCCGGGTCGAAATGACACTTTTCCGGGTCAAAATGACACGATATTGTGCGGGTCATTTCGACCCGGAAAATTGTCGTTTTGATCCGCAGAAGTGTCCTTTTGACCCGGAAAAGTGGCAGGCCCCATAGGACCGGATTCCGGGCCAAATCTGACCCTGGACTTTTTAGAGTGCCGACAGAGTTGTAACCAAGGAATCGCATTCATCGTAAGTCATATTACCAGTCGGCATTATCAAACTTAATCCTGTCAAATGAGGAAATATTCCAATGGCTCTCGACTATGGGGCATTCATGTGTCAGTATTCCTGTCCTGATTGACTTGTGATCGACTGGGTTCATATCTGTTGGAATGCATTTCACATTCAGACGTTTCTTCATCATACAACATACAATCAATGAAGAAGACGCGAGTGTCATAATGCAAACATTATCGTTGTATATGTTGGTGTATTTTTTTTGGTTTTGGTATTCTTCTATTTGGCAGAGCATGGTTGCTGAGGCCTTGGGCATACCAAGGAACAGAGTGGTCTGCCGTATCAAGCGAATGGGTGGAGCATTCGGTGGTAAGTGCACGCGACCTGGAATACTTGCAGCTGTGTGCGCTGTAGCTGCCAACAAGTAAGTCCGATGGTTATAGAAACGGCTCGGGGTGAGTTTTGGGATGGGGTGAGCCTAACAAGGAAAAGCTTACGTCATCGGCAACTGTTCCAACAGTAGGGTTGGATCTCAATCAGAAATGTAGTGACGTAACTATACCGAGTGGTATGGTAGAAATAATAGCAGGCCACACGGCCTCGTCAAGAAACTCACGCCACCTTTCAAATCAATTGCCTGTTTTATTATCATTAATTTTAATTATTAGTTGAGATATTAAAGAGGGGTAATTTAGGTAGTAGTGTTTGAGGTGTAGCCTATCACCCAGTTAAATCATGGACTTGTAAGGTAGTACTAAAAGGAAAGTAATTATAATTTGGCGATATTGGTCCTCAGTCTCCAGATTTGATATACTTATGGCACCGTAAGAATTCCGGCCAAAACAGTGAATGTAGGCCCTATGCATTGTAATAATGTCATAATTGTTGGGGTTTTTTTGGGGGGGGGGAAGGTCGACAAGTTAACCAAATATTTTTGAATGGTTGGTTTTACTTTTCATCACTGATACATGTAATTGTCAAAGCACTGTCTGCTGTGCGCTTATCACAGACTTGTATGGGGGAAAACTAAAGCTTACTACTTGGTTGGGACTCCATTGAATCAACCTCTTACTTAGGCCAACTGGCGCATGCAGGCGCCCTGGTATACGACCTTTAAGCTTTCCAGGGTAAGCTGACTGTATAGAACCTGACATAGCAGATTGTATCTGTGTATAGCAGTTGTAACCCGAGTAATATGAGGCCATAGTGTACAACCATCACATCGCATTCATTTGATCAACCTCTGCTTTCAACCTCCCCAGAGTGAATCGCCCAGTGCGATTGACGCTTGATCGAGACGAAGACATGATCATGACCGGGATACGACATCCCTTCCTGGGCCGCTTTAAGGCCGGATTAACTGAAACCGGCCGATTGAGGGCGCTCCAGGTCGACTTATATAACAATGGGGGAAACACATTGGATCTTACTTATAGTGTAAATATTTTTGTAACATTTTCGTATACAGCTATGTCGTTCCATCGCAAGAGTTAATACCGTCTTCCAAAAACAGCACTCTTAAACATCGCCCCATTGTCCCCATTCCTCCCTGGATTTCGAATATTTTGTACGTATTGGTCCGAGCAAACTACCACTGTGCGCACAAGGAGGACCTCCTCAATGGCGAAAGCATTGTGCCACCTTTTGTTCATAATGTAATACGTCATATGGCATTTGCTTCGCACAACCTGTGGTTGGCACTTTTTTCCACTGGTTCGCAATATATGGAATGTCAACGCCTCAAACATATCGTTGGATTGTTGAGAATACAAAATAACCAACGAATGTTACCAAATACTTCATGGAAGATGTCTCTTTCTCACATAAGGAGGGTGTTCATATGCAAGTTTTGACAATTCACGGCTAAATATTAATGCCCATGTGGCCAGTAGCCAATACAAAATAGGGCTCAATGGACTACTACCGTTTTGCACGATAATGTCAAAAATATGCTACAGAAGATGTAGGCCTTCGCCTACCATTTTCGGACTTTTAATTAAACATGTAGGGGGCCTATATGCTATACTACCACGCCATTTGAATATTCCATTCTAATCGCTATCTGTCAAGTTTCTTAATAACTGCAACAGTCAGTTGATATAGCCTGGACACTTTACCGAGAATTCATTTCGACTAAATACTTTGTGTAACTGAAGATTCCGAACGATTTAGGCTTTTCAAGTAAACTGCTGATTTGTTTTCTTGAAGGTTATGGAGAAAGCACTTTTCCATATGGATAGCTGCTACAACATTCCCAATGTACGGGTGACCGGCCATCTTTGTAAGACCAACATTGCTTCCAATACGGCCTTTCGTGGCTTCGGAGGCCCACAGGGCCAGATGTTTGTTGAATCCATCTTACACGAGATCTCCACAAAGTACGGGCTGTCGCCGATACATGTAAGATGATGTTGTGACTGGGGAGTCATGTTGGCGCAGTGGTATTTCCCTCGCCTTCAACCTCTGTGACCCGGTTCGAACCACTTCCCGACCGATATTTGGATTTAGAGCCCGTCTCAATTCATATCCGGGAGGAGTTGCGGACAAGTTGCGGACATTGTATTGGGTATAATTTGCAGGATTCTGAACAACTTCCTCGCAATGTTCCCGCAATGAAGTTGTGTCAAGTACTTTTCTAATGAAAGTTTTTCTTTTCCGGAACATGTCCGGGACAAATGCAGTGCCTCTTCCGGACAAACTGGATGATATTCTACCCGCAACTTGTCCGGAACTCGTCCCGGATATGAATTAAGACCTGATTCCTTGGGTTTTTCTTCGAATTCATGTTTTTTGGGAATTAACCTCACGCTTCTAAAACTAAACATGGTTCCCCTTATTCGGATGTACTTTTTGAAGTATCAGATTAAGATATTTTGCCAAGTTAAACAACTGAGGATTACAGGCAAATCTTTTGGCGTAATTGACTTATTGTAAACTTTTTAATGGCAAGCAATTTCTGAAAAAGAATTTATACGACTCGATTTGTTGAAAAAAATCTAAATGAAGGAATTACTTCACTAAACGGGTGAACTCGCCCTTTCGCAAACATCGTACGAAATGAAATTTGCACGTAAACGTTAACAATCCAACCCCTAGGTTAACCAAGGGCGGATTCAGGGGGGGGGGGGGGAAGGGGGCCATGCCCCCCCCCCAAACAAAAACAACGAAACCATTTTTGTTTAATGTGACGTCGCAATAAAGGCAGGCAATGAGTACACCACCATCTTTTCCTCAAAAAACATTTTTAAAGTGGTCAGAAATTGCCTCAGATCGCACCACAGAGCATCTAGAATCCAAAATTTGTTTTTTCCGGGCCCTTAAGCGGGCCCCGAACCCCACGCCGTAATTTTTTTGACCCACTTTTTCGGGGGACCACATTTTTTTTTTGCCCTCTTCAAAATTGTGTTTTGGAGCCGCCCTTGAGGTTAACAATCCAACCCCTAGGTTAACCCCTAAGTTCTGCCAAACTATGTCAGCCACAGCACCCTTGTTTGTGTTGACATTAGGTCTAACCGTAGTACATGTATATGCTTTAATTGTAATAATGCAGTTTTATGATCACTGCTTTGGTAGACACCTTCGATTATCTTCAACAACAAAGTTGTGTTATCGAAGATTTTTTTTGAAATTGAATTCTTGCAGCAGTGTCGTTGCCTTTCCCTTGCAGCCTTTATAATAATACAACAAATAAACAAGTTATTAGTTTAATGTCTCCCCTTAACTTGTATCAGTCAGGGGCGGGTCTTGCTTCCAGGAATTGGCCGGGGCCAGGAGGGGGGGGGGGTGTGAATGCGAAGGCACGCCTTGCTTGGGTGGGGTCCTTGTGCATGTATGCATCCCGAAAAAATGTATAATTTTCCTGCATGCTAAGCAATTTGAGAATACATTTAGGAACTTTAGCATTTCATTTATTATTTTGGCCCCATACGGGGGGGGGGGGGGGGGTTGCAACCCTCAACCCACCTCAAGATCCGAATCGACACACACATTACAGTCTTATTCAACTTGCAATATCTTCAATGTTTTTCTTAGTGATTGTAAAGGCCTACCTTGCTGCATGTTTGTCTCAATGAATTTAGATTCGAGAGCTGAACTTCTACAAAGAAGGGGATCGGACCTATTTTGGTACCGAACTTAAAAACTGTAACGTGGATCGATGCTGGACCGAATGCCTTAAGAAGAGTGATTTCGAGAGACGAAGACGAGATGTTGACCAGTTTAACAGGTATAATCAATAGGAAAAGGAATCATACAATTGTTTTTAGTTCAATTTTGTCAGTTTCTTGCAATCATTTCCATTTCTGTCTCAATATAGGTTATCGCCTTCTTAGCCCCGATTTCATATAGTTGCTGATAATAGCAGATAAATTGGAGTTATAGGATTTTATACTTTGCATGGTGCAATATCACTATCGTTTTGGTTTGCGGTAACACCATGTGGTAATAACTATTGCTCAGTAGGTATTTAGTTCTGATTTAATTCTGGTATTTAGTTCTGCCTATTAGCAACTAGCGCTAAATAGTTTTAGTTCTGATAAGAACAGTCCTGCTTTAATTTCTAAAAACCTGTTCTTATCAGAACTAAAACTACTTAGCGCTAGTTGATAATAAGCAGGACAAGTTCTTTTCATAACTAAATATCTAAACTGTATGTATTTGGGAAATTTATGTTGTAAGCAAAAAACAAAAAGGGTGGGAAACTATTTGCAAACAGTTTAGACCTACACATCACATGAGCAAGGGCAGATCCAGAACAAAATTTAAAAAGGGGGTACGCCCTGCTGGCCGTGGCAATTTTGAAAAGGTTGTGGTTTAATTACATGTACTAAAAACAAATGTCACTTGCCTTTGCATATGAGTTTCGGATGCTTACCTTATCTGTTTTGTTGAGCAAATATTTCGCGTCGTAGGCAAATTTCTGTGCTTTGCGATTGGCCCCTTGTAGATTTTTTTCTCCATGAATGTTTCACCTGGAAGCTGTTGATATTATAGATAATTTCATTGCATTTTTCAGCGAAAACCGTTGGAGAAAGCGAGGGATCGCTATCACGCCTACCAAATACGGCATCGCATTTCCACTCGTCATGCTGAATCAGGTAAAGTTGCATTCATGTTCAGACCCACTCGGTAAAAATGGAAGGGGCTTTAAAACTATGTGTTTTCATCATGTCGGGGTCGCCTGGGTAGTGACGACATCACGAGCCAGTCCCTGAGTCCTCTTCCTCCAGCTGTCTCGATCTACCATGCAGGTGCGCAGCTCCTCTGCAGATGTGAGATCAGTGTCCATCTTGAGCTGGTCCACAAAGGTCAGCCTTCTTCTCCCTCTTGAGGCAGTGCCCTGGGTGGGCTCCCACAGTATGGTTGGGTGGCCTCGGCAGCAAGCTCAGGGTGGCGGACGCAGTGGCCAGCGAAATTAAGACGACGCTGTCTGATCTTGTGAGTCACTCGCTGCATGCCGTTGTAGAGGTCATCATTCCTCATACGATCCTGCCACGATACGTGTTTTATTAGCGACGATGAAAAGTGCACAGAGAACTAAAAAGTTAACTGCCAGCTCGTTTCGTCCTTTTGAGATTGCCGTTGAGTCAGAAAGAACCAGACTCTAAAAAGAAGGTTTTTTTACGATCTTTCGGTAGCTGTGATGTGATTTCGTATTTGGTATCGTTCTTACAATCTTTTTCGTGATTACTAAATGTCTTTATGTGTTATCGTTTTTCTTTTGTTACATCCTGAGAACATATGAAAATGTACATAAAACAATTACATTTCCTCAAGTTTCCCTATGATGGGCCATTGTGATTTATATGATTTTTGTAAGTCATTCGGCGTCTTAAACCATTGGTTGAAAAGTAGCAAAATACTCACGCGCTTGCACATAGACTACTGAATTGTTACGCGTTCAATAATGACATTATACCAAGAAAAATGCCTTTTTACAGGTTACTGTCTGTCTTTCTGGAAAGCTAGCTATGTTAAAGTAAAATTGTGATGATAACCAGCAAGACTCCCAAGACCAGGGTAGGCGAGCAAAATTGATCTTTTATATCACGTATCACGAATTCCAGCCCAAAAAAGGCACAAAACCTGCAACCATTTTCGGCAGCCTAGCTGCACAGACGGTGACGATCAGCACAACACTCCCAACAACTTCAAATTGTCTAAATTGATAGGCTGGTGCTTTGGTTCATGTCTACACGGACGGCACGGTCCTCATCAGCCACGGGGGTACCGAGATGGGTCAGGGGTTGCACACCAAGATGATTCAGGTGGCGAGTAGGACGCTCCGAATCCCAGCAGACAAGATTCACATCAGCGAGACTAGTACCGCCACTGTACCGAACACCTCGCCCACCGCTGCCAGTACCGGCTCTGATCTGAATGGCATGGCTGTCAAGGTGGGTGTGCATACTTTTATACTTTTTGAAATTCAGGTTTTCAAAGAGTGTGACAACTTTAGGTCTCGACATGAACAATGGCTGATTTCCAACTGTGCACACAATGACATTACGAGCTCTAATAATATCCAGTTGGAGACGGATCAGATCAAGCTAAAAAAAAAGTATTAACTTCATTTGTTGACAGGACGCCTGTGAAACGATCTTGCATCGCTTGGAGCCTTTTATTCAAGACGACCCGAAAGGAACATGGGAGAGCTGGGTAACTTCAAGCTTATTCTTTTTTTTTTTTTACTCAGGCAATGAAACTGTTTCAATTTAATAACCAGGTGTAAATTACGTTTGATTCTATTGATAGGCTAGTTTATATGACTGTTCATTTAAATTCACCAGCTCTATCATTCAATTTCATCCACGAAAAACATTTACACGTTGTTAACAAAACCAATTTTGTCATTTAGCATTCAATCTTGAGGTTTGGTCACCCTCTTTAGTCACCGGGTCGAGAGTATTCGTCATTATCAAATGCGTCTAAGCTGTTAACGAATGGCAGCATTCAGAGATCGAATTCATCTTATATAAGTCAATTAAATGAATTTGATTTCTGAATAACAAGGTTTGGCATGGACGAGACGAAATGGAATACTCCCGGATGAAAACGTGTGCTCATACGCGCTCATTGTTTGAATTGGCTTGAGCTGAATTGGGAAGTGTGTGACAAAAGACAAAATTGAACATCGGAAGTGTACTAAATCAACGTTGATGGACGAATTTAGGTATTAGAAACGAACGAATATTAGAATAACTAGAGGTTGTAGGAACAACCCCACAGTGTTGGGCCATGGATTACCGCAAACTTTGCCACACACATCAACTCAAAATATGCATGTTTAAATCCATGTTTGACTTTTCAACATGCTACCAGAGGGCGCTCTAACATTTGATGACGTCACCTGATTTTGCACTTAAACCAAATATGAAGACCCTGCAATATTTTATCGATTGCCATGAAAAACAAAATCAAATCTGTAGCAGTTGATTTTATATTGATTTTCAAAAGATTAAATATGGAAATATTTATTTGCTTGTAATATGACACTTGATGACGTAATTGTAACGTCATCGCCAGAAACTACCAGAGCTATATTTACTCTGCTATATATAGCCACATCTTGATTATATCTCTCACGGTTGATTTTTTAGCAATTGCTTAAGGTTTAAAGGTCATATCTTTATAACTTCCGGTCTGATGACGTCATCCATTTTTTTCGCGCACAGGTCTTTTCTGCATTAAGTTTATCATGTATGATAGGTTTGAAGCGATTACCGCAAATTTCGCCACATATATCAAGTGATAATGCGTTTTCGACGTTTTTAAACTGCCGCTAGAGGGCGCTCTAACATTTGATGACGTCACCTGTATGTTTGTACAGTACAGCCTAGGCAGACACTCACATCGTTGAAAGCAAGTTCGCATCTTCTGCCAATTTCAAATAATAAGGCACTTCCGGTTTCGACCGGAAGGAAGGGTCACTTGATTTTGCACTTAATACCAAAAATGAAGACCCTGCAATATTGTATCGATTGCCATAAAGAACAGAATCAAATCTGCAGCAGTTGATTTTATATTGATTTTCAAAGATTAAATCTAGAAATCTTTGATTGCTTGTAATATGATACTTGATCACGTCATTGTGACGTCATTACCAGAAACCTCAAGAGCTATCTTTACTGTGCTGTATACAGCCAAATCTTGATTATATCTATCACGGTATATTTTCTAGAAATTTTTTAAGGTTTAAAGGTCTGTTTATTGTAACTTCCAGTCTGATGACGTAATCAATTTTTTTCGCGCACATGTATTGTCTGCATTATGGTCATCATGTACATTAATTTTGAAGCCATTACCGCAAACTTCGCCACAGACATCAAGTGAAAATGCGTTTTTGACGTTTTTTAACCTGCCGCTAGAGGGTGCTCCAACACATCATGGCATCACCCATTTTTTTTTTTTGAAAGGTCAATCTAGGCAGACACTTAAATCGTTAAAAGCAAGTTCATATCTTTTTCCACTTTTAAATTATTAGGCACTTCCGGTTTCGACAGGAAGGAAGGGTCACGTGATTTTACGCGCACAGGATAAAATGAAGATCATGTATTACCATGTCGATTCCCGCAAATTTCAGGTTCCGGTCTCTCACGGTTGATTTTATATGGAATTTCAAAGATTAAATTTATTAAACTTTCAAGCGACGTCACGTGACCCGTGATGACGTCATGATGACGTTATTGCAAAAAAACACATCTGCGGTGGATTGGGCATTCATGTATTGACAATGAAGTTCATATATGTTTCCCCCAGTTTTCCAAACAGTTCTGGAGAAGGATTTGCTTGGAATATGCTGAGAAGAACAAAAACAGTAAATTCTTACGAAACCAATATAGGCTCAAGGCCCAACACCTAATTAACGTACCGGGGAACCCTATATTATAATTTTTCAATAACAAATTGATAGGTCTTCTTTACTACCGTCACAACCTTTCTTGCATTCAACATACAGGTCATGGCAGCCTATGCTAACCGTGTTAGTCTGTCTTCAACTGGATTCTACAAGTAAGCTTCGTGGAGTTATTCATAAGATGGAAATTGCGTGAGGGTGATGTAAATCAACATTAGTTTTTGCCTCTCACCGACGTACAAACACTGTATACTCAGTGTGTTACCTCCCGAGTAAAAGTTGAAAAAAATCACTCTGGTGGGATTCGAACCCACGACCTCCTGCTTTATACAGGGTGTTTCACAAAAAAGGAAACCGAGTTTATTTTGTTGATTTCTCGGGTATGACTAATTATTTAGGAAAATGGTAACCACTATCTGTTACATAACAATGTCTTCTTTTTCTTGACACCACGAACTCCATTTTACCGTCACGGATGACTGAGCACCAAGTGATGTAACTGACATGCCAGAAATAGCCGTGTACCACATGCACCATAAGATCAATTGACAGTTTTCAGCATTTTGAAAATAACAAAATCCAGGACGTACATAATCAAAGTCATTTGTTCAATTGCAAAAACATATCAACGTTTATCACTGTCCCCGTTAACCCAACTGTCCTTCAACATTCCCCCCATTCCTTTCAACACAAATCTCTTCCCTGGTTCTCATTGCTGTGAACGCATTCCTGATAACGTCTCTTTCTCTGATGAGGCTGTCAATTGGTCTTAATGGTGCATGTGGTACAAGGCCATTTTGGGCATGTCAGTTACATCACTTGGTGCTCAGTCATCCGTGACGGTAAAATGGAGTTCGTAGTGTCAAGAAAAAGAAGACATGGTTATGTAACAGATGGTGGTTACCATTTTCCTAATTATTTAGTCATACCCGAGAAATCAACAAAATAAGCTCGGTTTCCTTTTTTTATGAAACACCCTGTAGTGCAGACGTTTTACCCGTTGCTACATGTATACGTCAAATTTGAACCATCTAACCGATCCCGTAGGCTCGATGGTCGAGTGGTAAGACGTCTGCACTAGAAAGCAAGAGGTCGTGGCTTCGAGTCCCACCCGAGTGATTTTTTTCGAACGTTTACTCGGGAGGTAACACAGTGTTATACGCCGGTGAAGGGCAAAGCCCAAGTTGTAGAATTATTTATTTTTTTGAAACCTTCGTATTTTTGAGCCCTTCACCAAAAATAATTAAAAAGCTTTTATCCGTGTGTAGTTATGGCATACATTGATTAGTTTTCAATTTTTCAATTTATGGGTGGCCCAACAAAAAAAATCTGGCGGATCTTTGTGTGCATCAGAGACGCTTGTGGTGCATAATGCATTGACTTATATTTCCATAGAAAGATAAACTTTGTAATAAGTGAAACATGAAAAATCAAATTCCTTGAAGCGCACGGGGAGAGCACTGAAATAAAGGATCTCACTTGTTTGCTTAATTATTCTAGAACCCCAGACCTGCATTTTAACTGGGAGACCAGTGAGGGCCAACCGTACAGGTATTTTGTGTGCGGGGTCGCAGTCTCTGAGGTCGAGGTTGACTGCTTGACTGGCGATCACCAGGTGCTACGGACGGATATTGTCATGGACGCCGGGGATAGTCTCAATCCAGCCGTCGACATAGGACAGGTAGAGTCTGCACAGTCTAGCTTCTTAACCATGCCATCTCCATGTTGTCAAATTAAATCAAATTTTAAATATCTCGATGTTTTCAAATTAAATCAAATCTTAAAACTCAAAAAATATTAACCACTGTTGCAATATAGGTTGCTACTTTGTTGAAGTCCCTACTATACCGTTCTGAAAGAAAAAATATAGTGTGAGAGTGTTTTTTCAACGTTTCTTGGGTATATACGTCCTATATACCCTACGCGTGTGATATGTCATCAGATGCATAACATGACCTCACTGAGGTCAATCTCGCATATGCAAAAGGGCTGTGCATACCCTCTATTATTGATGACGTCATCGGTAAGCCTCTTTCTAGTATTAGGCCAGTTCAACTGTACAAATCTTCAAATCAAAGATTTATATCAATTTGTAAGGTTTTTTTTTAATCCTGATTACGAAAAAGTATCTGATTTTTTTTTTTTTACCTATGTTCGTCTACTAAATTGTTTGTTCGTCCACCGACTATATGCATAATCTACAGATTGAAGGCGCCTTTATTCAAGGCTACGGCCTGTTCGTGATGGAGGATTACAGGATGACCCCTACAGGTCATCTGCTGACCAAAGGAGCTGGCTTCTACAAGATCCCTGGATTCGGTGACATTCCGGGAGAATTCAACATCAGTCTCCTGACCAGAGCACCCAACCCACGCGCCGTCTGCTCTTCAAAGGTGAGATCGCATTGCCTTTATGGTTTATTCTACAGGGTTGGTGTAAAACAAGACGTAAACCCACATGTGACAGCAATTTTCACCTACTTGTTGAGCATAATTCAAAAATTCAATTTAACGGTAATCAAATATTGATCTTTAAACGTAAGTGACAAAAAATAGATTGCAAATGTATATGCAATATACATGTCTCTGAGATATGGTTGTTTAAAGATTCGTGTGCCGAACCTGTTTGTCCACAGACGGCTTTATTCCGCCCTCTTGACTGAGCTGCGGAGCTTGAGGTGATGACACAAAAAAACACTACACTATACTAATACGTGGACAACAGTGATATGATTTTGACCTGTATTCAAATTAGCATCATAACACCATTCTTACTTGCGATTATTTCCATATTGTTTTCACTACGTATAGGCTTGAAGAGTTATACTTCAGTATACATCATTAAACAAAAGTTCAAATAAGTTAAGTACGTGGGTTAAAATTCCAGTCCAAAGTGGGTTTCCTTCCTTTTTTTAATTCCTTTAAACCAGATCTTTGAAATGGGATAAGTTAACATCCAATACATACAATCTTCGGGGATTTCAGGACGCAGTCCCCTTTAACATCTTGTTTAACCTATAACCAGTGGCGTAGCCAGGAATTTTTCAGTGGGGGGGGGGGGGGGGGGGCGCTGGGGGGCTGGAACTGCTCATAACGCTTCAAACTTTCTTAACGGATCGTCTTTCTGACTCCCTTTTACCTCGATCCTTGCTTGACTTCTGGATGACGTACAGGCTCCCCTTCTGAAAATACCAGTAGCTGACCCACGCCTATATTGCTGACAGAGTTCGTTTATATGCTAAAGATGATTCATGCACTGTTTCACTGTCTTGTAGACATCAAACAGTAGTAGTTAAGGGATTGTCATGCCAAACATCTTGACGATATAGTCTGACCATTAAAGTGTCATCGTCAGGAGTCTGTGTGCGAAGTTTCAATTAAATTCAATAAACATTTATTTCCACTCTGTGGAGGCATCATCTCAACAATACAAGACAGAACCAGATAAACAACACTTATTATACATCTCCGTACAAGAACACACTTCGCTTCTACGGTCCCAGTCTTTGAAATAGCATTGAACAGTCAATTAAATCCAAAACCTCCGTGGGCTCTTTTAAGAACTCTTTCAAAGAGTATCTCATTTTCCCAATATGTGGCATAGTTTGGTTGTTTTCCTTTGGTTTGTTCTCCAGTGTTGCCACCTCTCTTGCAGTTTTACGGGTTTATTTCCCCAGTCATTTTTCTTAATTTATTTCTGGTCAGATCATTTTGTCCTCTTGTTTATGATTGTCTTAGACTTAATTAATTAACTATTTGATTATTTAATGTCTTTGTTTTCTCTTCTAAATGCACTCCGCTACAAGCCTTGGCTTATTGTGCCTACACACTATTGTATTTTGCTTTCTGTTATGTTATTGTTTCAGTTCATTTGTGTTATTACTTGGGTAAAACAATGACCAAATAGTCTCATCATCATCGAAGAGTTGATACATGCATGTGCTGGTTATAATTAAGTCCCTATTTGCTCCATTTATAATATTTTTCTTTATAATGTTCACTCGGTTTTGGTACAAAAGGCAGCAAGGAAAAAGCAAAGTCTCGGTGTAAATCTGTCATCAACATCTGAATACATGATTCTTCGAATTCTTATTTAGTGATCATGTTTTTTTTATTGCTTTTTGTTTCATATATGCTTTCCTCCATTTGACGAATGACTATTTTCTCTGCTATACCTCATTTTTCTCTCGAGATAACAATTACCGTTGCAGCTTTTCTCAGTCCATTGTAACCAATAATCATTGGCACGTTTCCATTACACGAATGGCCTTCTAGGTTAGACCAATGGTCATGGTAGCTCATTAGCAGGGTAACTAGACATTGGCTGGAAGATATTTCGCCCAACCAACTATTATTTTTGTAACCTTGTCACCATGGTAACGTGTCCGATCAAATGGTTAGATTCAGCTTATCTTTTACATTTTTGCTGCGTGCAATTCGTTAGTGGTAGAAGGCATACATTGTTCACACAACAAGCGTTCATCGTCACAAGGCTGTGAAGTTGAGTTTATAACGCCCATGAAAATATTAGTTATCAGCATTTTACAGGTATTCTGCTCTTCATGCACTGTCTCTGTTATGTTACTTTTCAATTTTGCTGGCATCTTAGCTATCAGTCTTCGTCTCTACACTTGAAGTCATCGTTGAAATGGATACGGTAATATTATATTGGATCGTATTGATGGGCGTTAGTGTGAACGCTGTCTGTCCGGAGTGGAAGAGTTTTCAGAACTCCCGTTACTGTCTCCTTGAGACCCAAATGACTCGGGACGCCGCCTCACACCAGTGTATCAACTTGGGCGCCAGCTTAGCAGTTCCTCGCACACAAAGCGAGCAAGAATTCATTCTTACGATGGCCAAGGAAAGGCTTGACCCTACTGACGGTGTATGGCTGGGCTGTCGTAGGTCAGCGTGGCAGTCAGGCACAGGTGAGTGGGTAGACACCGATGGAACACTTGCGAGTACACAAACTGGCCGGACAGTTGGCCGAAAAACGGAGGCTGTGTACGTATGAACATGGTAAGAGGAAGCTGGCTCGACGTTGTGTGCACTGCCAGTAACTATGTCATGTGTGAAGTTTCGGCCCTAGCAGGCGCTACTGTATCAACTATCGACAAATTCCCGGCCCAGACTTCTGTCGACCCTGTGGATACTAAGTCAACTGTCAACCCATTCGTCGACAACGAGTTAGTGACAGCCGTCAACCCAGTCGATAATAAGTCTGCTGTCGACCCAGTCGATACCGAGTCTACTGTCAACCCAGTCGATACCGAGTCTACTGTCAGCCCAGTCGATACCGAGTCTACTGTCAACCCACTCCATACCGAGCCTAATGTCAACCCAGTCGATACCGAGTCTACTGTCAGCCCAGTCGATACCAAGTCTACTGTCAACCCACTCCATACCGAGTATACTGTCAACCCAGCCGACACCAGGTCTACTGTCAACCCAGTCGATACCAAGTCTACTGTCAACCCAGCCGACACCAAGTCTACTGTCAACCCAGTCGACACCGAGTATACTGTCAACCCAGTCGACACCGAGTATACTGTCAACCCAGTCGATACCGAGTCTACTGTCAACCCAGTCGATACCGAGTCTACTGTCAACCCAGTCGAAACCGAGCCTACTGTCAACCCAGTCGATACCAAGTCTACTGTCAACCCACTCCATACCGAGTCTACTGTCAACCCAGCCGACACCAGGTCTAGTGTCAACCCAGCCGACACCAAGTCTACTGTCAACCCAGTCGACACCGAGTATACTGTCAACCCAGTCGACACCGAGTATACTGTCAACCACGATACCGAGTCTACTGTCAACCCAGTCGATACCAAGTCTCCTGTCGACCCAGTCCATACCGAGTCTACTGTCAACCCACTCCATACCGAGTGTACTGTCGACCCAGTCGACACCGAGTCTACTATCAACCAAGTCAATACCGACACTGCTGTCAACCCAGTCGATACCGGCACTCCTGTCAACCCAGTCGATACCGAGTCTTATGTCGACCATGTCGACACCGAGTCAACTGCTAACCCAGTTGGCATCAATAAGTTGGCTTCCCCGTCGATGTTCTGCCTGAAGACCGACGCTGATGGCCGCCTCACATCCTATTGACTGACCGGTCACGTCATCAAGGAGTTCTCCACCACCAAGGGTGTCATCGCGTGTGGCTCGGCGTGCCGGGATGAGCCTCGATGCCGCTCCTTCAATCTGCGACGTGTCAGCCGCGGAGAGAAGATTTGCCAATTCAAGACATCACTCGAAAAGATGACGGCCGAAAGGACGAACTACAGGAAATTCTTGCTTTTATTTCGAAATCTAATTACATGTATTTCAATATCAGCAACCCGCTTCAGAAACCGAACGAAACACATTTTTAAGTGAAATATTAATTAATGTAATTTTAGGTCAATAAAATATAGGTGTTTCCTGGTCTTAGCACACTGTATATAATAACAATTTCAATTAATTTAAAAAAAAAAAATTTCTTAGAGTAATACTTAAAGTAAAGGTGTTTTAAGTAGGAAAGGGAGAGTCAGATAGCTAATTTGCTGCTGTTTGAATGACTATATCCTAAGTCTCAGCTGTTCGTTAACAAGATCATGACAAGATCGTCTTCTTACAAACTGTACGAGAAAAGAACGTGCAGTTATGTTAACAGCATCCCGCGTGCAGCCATGTTGGTGAACGTAAGATTAAAACTGTCTAATTTCTGGGGGTAACGCTCGTACGAAAGAAGGATGATTTGAATACTGAGGCTGCACTGATTTGCACAATGCACAATTTAGAAATATCGTAGAAATTGTGGGTTTCTCAACGTGTTTTACTGTAATTTCAGAACCCCGCACGCATGCACTTGCACTGACCAAAGAGCAAGGAACAGATTTTGCTATACGCACCAACTGTTCGTATTTGAGGACGGGAAATTGGAAAACATATATGAATTGCCATATTAAACGAAAACCGTGTAAATAAAGTATATCCAGTAGTTAAGTTGCTTGGCAATTATGAAGCTCATCATATATATATATATCGTAAATTGTAGGGAGAATACGATGGATTGTAGATAATCCAGACTTGTTTGGAAAGATCGCGTATTTCCAAAATTGTATAAAACTATGATAATTATCAAAAAAATGTTTAATAGTTTTTAGTGAAGTAAGGAAGTTACAGTTTTCAATAGGACTATTTACAGGTAATTATTGGGGTATGGATTATCAACTGGAGTATTCTCTTCATATGTATATAAACTCTGATGAATTATGCTGTTATGTCGAAATTTATGGAAATTCAAATGTAAATATCTGTATTGTGTATAAATAAGGCCAACAAAAAAACATGTTTAGCGTCCCCGCCCGCTTCCTTTTTGGAGGCCGCCTCCTTTTTAATTTTTTTTTTTTTGAAAAAAAAACAACAACCGAAAAAATGATAAATTTTAAACAGTAGGCCTACATCATTTTGGCCTCTTTGTCTGTTGCATCTAGCCCATATAAAGCTGGTATGTCATTTCCTGAGTTCAAGTGGCAGCCATTTTAAGAAAAAGCTGGCGGCCATCTTGAAAAATAGCCCGACCGGTCGCGCAATTTTTTTCCATACCACACGCTGTTAGTATAGATGGAATTATGCTGGAGGGCTCTTTATATGCAATAGTATAATGTTTAAAACTACCACGTCGATCGAATCACTGCTGTAGTGTCATGGATACTACATTGGATTACAAATCCGATGGTGCGAGTTCGATTCCCATTGGATGCTTTTTGTGGTTTGGAGGATTTTGTTTTTTTGCAAGAGGGGAAAATATAGTCCGAGAACCTGACTTGCAACTCAACGTACTTCGAAATACGCCCATATGCATGTGTACAGAAAAAGGCGTACGGAAAATATAGCGCCGGCCGGTCGTTTTGGACAATGGGTCGGGCGGCCATTTTGGAAAAAAAGGGCCGCCTCCTTCCTTTTTTTCAAAAAGGCAGGACGCTAAACATGTTTTTTTTTTGGCCTAAATCTCAGTGCCTAGAGGTCCATTATGTTTTTTGATAATTTCATAGTACAATGTAATGTTGTGAAGTAAAAATAGATTTTCGTGGAAAATTGGTGTCAATAATGTGGTCTCACTTCGAATTTTTACCTGATTCTTTTTACAGTATAAGTCAGAACTGCTTACAGTTCTGCTAGTAGTTTCATAGTAATGTTATGGTGTTAAAATAAATGTTATCTGGCTTACTGGACTGTTGGTGCTCTCTTAAATTACACACAATAACGCTTGCTCATACGATTAGGCGCGCAAATGTGTCTATTTGGTTTGAATGACGAACATTAAGTGACGAATTGTGTTTGGCCACAATTAGTACTCAGTTCTGAATATCGATCCCTTGCATTGAAAAAAACTAACCTAATTGAGTTGTGTTTGTGAAAAACCACCATCTGACTCAACTAAGAATTGTTGTCCTGAAAGAATTTGTTTTGATAGTGTTTTCTCTTTCGAGCTTCGGGAGAATTCTTGGATCATTCCATCATGAAATCATTAAATCATGATGTGAATTATAACCAGTTTTGCTGGTCCAGAGGGCGAGTCTATATCCTCTTTGCGACTCTCTCACTGACTGACTGACTGACTGACTCCCGGACTCCCCCCCCCCCCCCGCCCCGACTGATATGGCTGACTGACTCACTCTTTGTCACTTATGAGTGGGGCATGTGCTATCGTATGGTATTATCCCGCATATATGAATGGGCTGAATCATGCTGTTGTAGGCCGATGCATGAGAAGAAGCTTCCAGTGAATAGATCGGGGCGGAGTGACGTCATCTGATGAAAACATCTATTCATTTGCACACCAGTTTTCATCGGTTGCTATGTGATACCATTCAGCTGCTGAATGGTACATTGGCTTAGCTAGCACGCTCCCAGACCTATTTTCTTGAAACTCAATGGTTCTTGAGTCCGGAGTGCTGAATTTCAGCACTCCGGACTCAAGAACCATTGAGTTTCAAGAAAATAGGTCTGGGAGCGTGCTAGCTAAGCCAATGTAAAAAAAAAAAATGCTCGGATGTCCGCGCCCACCTATAGCCTGATCAATCGAATAGGATATGTGTGCTCTGGGACGAGCTTTATTATATAGCCTTGTCTGGTCCTGTTATAAGAAAGTGGGGTAAATAGTCTGACGTGAACTTGTAATTTAAGAACCTACAGACCATGTGACATTTTGTTTACAAAATTGGATGTTGTGGTCACGTGATGCCAACTCTCAGCAAACGAAGTCTGTCAATGTGGCCATCATGCCGGCGTTTATCTCCGGTTTCAGTGGCATGAAACGACTGAATATATTTGTATTCCGCCTGGATGGGATGCCAGTCCATCGCAGGTTACTCCCCAGCTAATGCCGGTACCCATTTATAGGCAGGTGGGGGTGAAGTGGCTTGCCCAAGGACATACATAATGACCAGCAGCTGGATTCGAACCCCTGACCCTCGGATCATGAGTCACGAACCCTAATCACTTGGACACACTCCCCCATAGGAATGGTGTAAAATTGATGACATAATACTGTTTAATGCGGGCCAAATAACATGCAAAATGTGCTTATGTTTGGGTTGTCCGACGGTTGCCTAACGGCATGAGAGTGCATTAATAAGCAATACCTTGCTCAATGCCGTAAATTTAAGTTTTGCACGGGAAACACGAGTGGGCCCCCTCTTGTCTCGCTCGCATCCCTTAGTTTGATTGGCGGCTCATATAGATTGCCGAATCCCCGCCACACCGGCGTCCACCTGACTCCCCCACCCCTACTCAACCTGTCAATCTCTTATTTATTTTTTTGTAAAATTCCCCTCATATTGGAACTCAGTCGCCTTATTAAGCTTTCAGTACTTTCCTTCCATATATCCTGGCCACAGTTGTAATCAAGTCATGTCACAATTATTAATGGGTGGTGTACAATGACAAAAAAGGAATCCTTTTGTCACACGGTTCATGCGAACAGCTAGCTGTCACTTGCCTTGAGACTGGACGACCTGTAAATGACTCGTGATCGGCTCGTGATCGACTCGTGATCGACTCGAGATCGACTCGTGATAGACTCGTGATCAACTCGTCATCGGCTCGTGATCGACTGGTGACCGACTTGTGACGGCGATTACAATTCTGCTTGCCACCTATAAATATGCATACCCGCCACAGGGGCGGATCCAGGTTGGGAGCAAGAGGGGTACGTGCTTTAGCTGCAAGGGGGGGGGGGTGTTAACAGGTATTTGCCGTGTTTTTCTGCATGAGTTTCCTATTTCTTTGCGACCCAAGAAGTGGCTTAGACACTGCCCTAACACCACCCCCATACATCCGCCACTGTGCTACACGTGTACACTATGCCTCTCTACACTAACATCTTTTACTAACACCCCTTCTACATTCATTTTGTAGGGTGTGGGAGAACCACCCTTGTACCTGGCATCTTCCATCTTCTTCGCCATCAAGGATGCCATCCAGTCAGCCAGAGACGATGCCGGCATCCCTAGAGCATTCCGTCTAGACAGCCCAGCCACGGCAGAGCGAATCCGCATGGCCTGTCAAGACCAGTTCACCAAACAGGTAAAAAGCCGCATTTCCATAAAGTTGTTTTCAGTCCATTTTGAGTCCGTTTCTCAATTTATATTTGGCCTATTCAGTTTATGGGCCCAACTAAACAACGAAAACAAACTAACTGAAATTACACCTCGAAAGTATATAGTCAAATGCTATTCTTAACAAAATACCCCTTTATTTTCCCTTAAACAAGGGAAAATTGTATAACCACATAAAACACTTGCTCATAGCAGACACAAGTTGCTGTCCAAAACGTACGGTGTGTGATTAATGTTGCGCACGTACTTTTGCGAAACAGTATTTTCGGCATAGAATAATTCAGCTTGTGAAATATAATCCACACCCGAAGTTTTCCCTAAAACATTCCTATTTTTTTTGGCAAGCATATCAAGGGTTTCAAGAAAGACCTGTATTCAATTCACGGAGCCCCATAAAGATGTATCTGCTTCAGAAATCAACTGAAACAAATCGGAATCAATACGGGCGATTCACAATAGTACGCCTCCAAGAGTTTGCAACACGTTGGCCAATTACAATGCATTGTGATTGGCCAACGCGTTGCAAACTCTTGGAGGCGCACTATTGTGAATCGCCCGTATTGAGCAAGTTCGGGCGAGTACCATTAGTCCACTAGTGGTTGATTCGTGACGTAACTTATGCCTGCGCGCTTTTATAGCAACGTGCGAAGGCCTCTCAGTCAACCGATGTTTAAAATGTCATCACGAATCTGTTTAGACCTTGGTCCTTATTGCGCTTTATGATAACCAGCCATGAAACCGTGCCTGTTCGTTTCCAAACAGTTCACTGGAGTAGTCCAACCATTTCCTTCGTTCGAGCGAAGTTAGTCGACTTACGGTTAACAATAATCCGGGCCCGAACTTCTTCAACATTTCGACTGGTAACCAGTGTTTTGCTTAACACATAATGTCTATGCTTAAGACTTGGAGACTTGGTGACATAAGTATGTTTAACCCCTATTCATTATTTTGTTGTGCCCAACAGATTGCGCAGGTTGAGGAAGGAACGTTCACGCCATTTTTTGTGCGTCCGTAGCCAGTATGGCTACATGATATTCCGTTCAACCAGGCATCCGTTATTAATGTGCATCATGCATATCTTTAAGGCTTTGTTTGTTAATAGACAGATGATCTTCGTTATCGGTAAATGTTACCTCATCACGAGTTAATGTCATCAGTTTTTCACGGATTATTTTTTACCACCCCAAAAACCTAAACGTACCCGATTCATCACCTTTTGGATCCTGCACAACGTTCGTAAGCTGTCTGGTAGAGAAATCCAAATACATGAAGCTTTGTTTGCTATATTTTAATTTCATTTACACTGCACGCCTCTCATATCAGTCAGTCTTTTATGATACAGCAAAGGCCGACAGAAGTCATCTCCTCGTGTGATTTTCGAAATTCACTGGGAAAAAAAACAAATTCTTGCGGATTTTGTGTGCATTTGAGTCGCAAAAGCAACCCCAACATTGAAGCCTTTTTTTCAGAGGGTTGCAGACGTTGGAAATAGAAAAACAAGTAGTTTTTTCCCTTAAAATAAAACATGTAAAGAGAAACTCATCAGGACAAAAAATATAATTTGTCGCAAATCACGGAGAAGGCAACTTATTAAGAAGTGAAAAAAAGGCAAAATTGCTCACATGCTACGGCCTTCAAAGCAACTTATGTAAAATAAAAAAAATAAAAAAATAAAAAAAGGAAAAGCAACAGAAACCCCTGGACAGAAAATAATGAAATGACAGAGGCAATTGCGATTCGGCCCGAGGCAAGGATTTTTCTCGAAATGGAAGAATAAAATCGTTTTTCTCCCTTTCTTTTATTGATATATTTTCTTCTTTAAGTACCAGAGGCTTTTCCCCATACATTAAACTATGAAGTAGTTAAGTTTTAATATTACGAACATGATATCGAATTCGTGTCTGCATCAGGCTTTTGTCAACAACCTAATACAGTCAAATCTCGACAAGTCAAACTCAGATAACTCAAACAAAAATCCATTGCCTTCAGTAGTATAACAATGATATACAACCCTGCTTAACTCAAAACTCTGCTGAAGTCAATTTTTAACCTGTTCCCTTGAGATTTGGCTTATCAGGATTTCACTGTACTTTGCTATACTTAAATTAAAGTAGGTGTAATGCTTTTCCAGATTTCGATTGCTTATAGTTAAAGATTTCACTGTATTAAACTATTACATAAAAGATGCTGGTCTAGCTACATTGAATTTGTATGCTCATGATGCAATGCTCTATCATTTTGAAAATGTTTCTGAATAAATGACAACAATCATTAAACTATTGGATGTTATACACTCATAATTTAGACTTGTATTAAATACGAATAAATCTTTCTTCATGAATTTTAGTTCATCCAGGTAAAGATAATGGAGTTGAATTAATGAAGTGTTTCGGAAATATTACATCCGAAGTCATTCCACTGACTGTATAGTTATAATTACAGTATACCATTAAAAAGATATAAGTTTTTTTGGGTTGTGATATCCACAAAATTTTGTCTCGTATACTCAAAAGATTCCAGTGTTATGCAACCAGAATTATCCCAGGTAATTAAATACAAATGAAATTTTATGTTGTGACTGTTAGCTCTTTAGACGTGTGACTTTTTGTTCCTATAGAAGTAAAAAGATTGAAGTTAAATTAATGACATGTTTAGGCAATAATTATTTTTATCACACGAAGACATTCAATTGACTATTATACAATAGTACTGTTCAAATATTATAGTGATTATGCCATAGGTTTTGGGTTGCGATACCCAGAAAACATTGGCTCGTATTCAACGACAACATAATTTATGTAGCTAGAGATTTTACGTACGATTATGATTATTTTGATGACTAGATCTTGTCGATGTAATGGGTGTCGTTCGAGTGACTACGTTGCCATAGATTTATTTGTACTATGTTCGTGGAGCGTATAACGTCCGCGGTCGATTAACTCCCGAATAGTAATTTATATAATCGAGGCCAGTGAGAATACATGTAATTATATCTCACTTTATGAATCCGTATTACCCTATGTCTTGACTTGAACTTGCTAAATGTTCATTGAACTACAGTGTTTCTTAGCTCGTTAGTTTTCCGAAAGACATTACTTATATTGACATAGAAGGAAAGAAAAAAGAAAGAAAACAAACCCAGATGTTTGATAGATTTTAAGGTTTTTAAATCACCAGTTTACCCATTTTCTGCCCGGCACTACGAAATTGTGTTTTAAATGTTTCGCATAATTCTGAACAGGGCAATTTTCAGGAACATTTTTATTGCTGAACAAAAAAATCAACCCTGTGTAATTTTGTTTCACATACTGAAATCCAAATCTTATCATTCTACACAAGGGAGGATCTCGCTTTAAGGAAACGGGGAAAGGGGGTGTTAAGTGCAGGGGTGCCGAAGACACGCCTTGCTAGGGGGTCCGGGGGTTCCCCCCCCCCCCCCCCCCCCAGTGTTGAAATCTACGAAGCTTTCTCCTGCATTCTAAGGCAATATAAGAATACATTTAGGAACCTTAGCATTCCACTTATTATTTTTGGCCCCATTCTACTATAGTATCATAACATTAGTCAGCGGCCGAACGAGGGGGTGGTGGGATGGGGTGGTTGCAACCTCCCAACCCCCCTCAAGATCCGCTACTGCTATACAGTGGCGTATAACTTGCGTCTAATTTGCAGGAGGGGGCACTGGTTGATTCCAGATTAAATAACTAATTTGTTTTACCCAAAAAAACCTCTAAACCCCGGGGGAAAGGCGTGGCTCGAGCTCCCCCCTCCCCGCCTAGTTTCGCCACGTTTTCTTGGCGAGAGGAACATCGTGTATGACGGAATTAAACTCGTAATCCTGACAAGATAATTCGTCATCCTGATAAGACCCTGACCCTGATTTGGTTTTCAGTGTATACATATAGGTGTATTGAAATCAATAAAACTGCCAGATGATCTATGACTGGAGCAGATGCACATCGTTGTATCAATTCTAAATTGTCTTCGGTCTGCAGCTGATAAAGAAGTTTAACAAACAGACATAACAACCGTCGGACCGAGCTTTTGTGAATGTAACAAGTTTTGAAACTGTCTTGTTCTGTTTTAATGTACGCCTACGGTAATTTGATTTAAATTTCGCTAAATCGCTTAAATTGAACTTCCAACCCGGCTAGTTATTAACAGACAATACAGTGTAACAAAAAGTAGTTTTTACCATTATTTCGACTATTATTTAAAATTAATTCTAAAAGGTTTTATGAAATATCTGTTCGGAAAATGGCAGGTAAAGACGAATTTCCGACCATGACGTAATTTTGCAGTCGAATTTGTTTTTGGTCGACACACTCAATTACCTATTAAAGTCTCTTTCGTAAGTGTTTAAATTTTATAACTCATGCTCTCGGCAAGGTAATGAGAAAAAAATACTGAAGTTGTATAAGGTGACGAGATGCGTAGGTTGGGGAGTGCGGGAAGGCCTATTTCATGGACTAAGGTAGGAGGAGAAGAGATGATATACTCGTGCAATAAACAGGGGTTGTATATGTTCGTGAAAAAACAACGTCGGAGCATAAATGCAACAGCCCCCCCCCCCCCCCCCCCCCCCATCCAACGGGATTGGCTCCCCATGATTTGCCGGCAAATAGCCTTGTTTCACTGTACGTTAAATGACCAAATCGTGCTAATAAGATTGATGGGAATTTGAAATCATTTTGTTAGAAAGGCTGTTTGTTTTCACAAAAGGTCATAAACATTAACGACACGGCTAGTCACGTTCTCAAGTAAATGAAGGACAAGTTTCTGTTTGTTTAAAAAGTGTGACAGGGGAATTGGGGAATAGGGAAAAGATGACACTACAAAAGGGCTAAAGCCAGGATGACGCTATTGGAGTAGCGGTATAGCTTAATATTGCCGACCACAACTAAAAAGAGTTTTACCGTCTTTTCAACGATATTTCACATTCCAAAAGAGAAAAATGCCGAACATTACACTAAAAGAATACGTTGGTTTATCCGTCTACGACAGCTATGCCGAGAAGCAGCTGTTAGCAGCTTTGTACGGTCTGATCTTTGTTGCTGGTGTGCTGGGTAACATCTCTGTCCTGCTGGCCGTGGTTCTCTCCCGTAAACCTCGCACAACCACCAACGTTTTCGTGGTCAACTTGGCCGTGGCGGACCTCATCACTTGCCTGAGTTTGCCCATCATGATCCTGGCGGTGCTGAGCGAGAACAGGGCAAAGCTACTCGTTTCAGAGAGTCTTTGCACTTTTCATGGAGTTTTAGTCGTCGTTTGTATCGGTTGTAGCATAAATAACATCACCTCTATCGCCGTCTACCGTGCCCTGATCACTCGCCGCAGGAACCGAAGCCGTTTTATCTCGTTGTTCAATCGTCGTGGTCTGGCAGCCTTAGTCACTACGAACTGGCTCATTCCCTTTACGATCGGCATCCTGCCCATCGTGTCTGAGTTCGGCTCGTACGGATACGGCGATGAACTCAGCACCTGTTCCTTCACTTTGAAAGCCAACGGATCCAGTACGTACTCCAAGATCATGCTGGCCGTCTACTACCCAGTGCAGCTGGTCGTGACTTTCGTCAGCTACGCACTCATCCTCATCACGGTGATAAAAGTTGCAAGAAAAGTCAACGCCAATCCGAGACAGACAGTGGCTGTAGTTGGAGGGGCCATGAGGCTAACTGCAGGACTCAGAACGACGCGACCATCAGTCTATGGCAATGTCCCAGCTAGCAACCTGTTGCAGGTGCCTACTCCCGATCGCCATCTCCGGGGAGGTACTGGACGTCAGGCTTGGACGGCCTACCGTCCATCGTCACGCGCCGCCCGTACGCACCCGGTCAGATCTTCGGCCAGACCTCTTTTGCGTCGAAACCGCGAAGTAACACTCAGTCTGTTTCTCGTCCTCTTCTTCTTTCTGATTTGCTGCACTCCCTTCGCAGTAGCAATCGTGCTACTCCAGGACAGGTTTCACAAATTTGTGCCCTTTCTAGCCGCACTGTTCATCTCCAACAGCTGCATAAACCCTGTGATTTACACGGCCCGGCATCCAGAGTTCAAAGCGGTTATCCGTTGCATCATAGTATGCCGACTCTCAAAGATACCCATGAAATCATCCTTCCTACGGAGATTGCTCACACTCCAAGAAAGATATCATATGGAATTTAAAAAATGACCTTTTTTTTATAAAAAAAAAGCCTCCCTATGAATGGAAAATCACAATGTTGAATTTAAAACAAACAAAAAAAACCACTAAAATTTAATTGAATTATTTTAACTTGATGGGTTTTGAGAGACATTTTGATGATTTCGCATGGAAAATGTGATCATTAAACTGAAGAACGCATTGAACAGCATTCTACGATCATTTCCGAAGCCTTTGGTCTGATGGAATGTAACACTACTCGGACGAAAAATTAAAAAAAAAAAAATAGAAGGGACGCCCATGAAAGTGACAATGAACACATTATTCTGAGTTTAATTAGGGACAGTATCTTTAAACTTGTTTTATAAATCACGGGTAAATCTGCGCATAATACGTCTCCTGACGACAGGCAGAGCGTATTGGGTGAAGTTTTTCCATCGAAAACTCACAGAACCACACGAACTCACACACAAGAGAATTCCTTCCACGTGGAGCACTGCAAATGCAAACCTGTTCTTATTCACTGCACAGAAATGTTTAGCTTATACCTTGGTGTTTCCGAAATTGCTATTTAGAGTGATGTGTGACGTCCTTTGTTGAAACTGAGTTTTTGAGATTGTGATTGTGATTGATGTTGTTCATACAGTGACGGATCTGGGGAGGGGGTATAAGGGGGTCAACCCCCCCCCCCCCCCCCTTGTCAGCCGAACCCATCTTGAACAAAACTCTTCAACCGCCCCTGTTTGTCACTGATATAACTTCACACTCGCCTTAATTAGAATTCGAATTGTAATTCAATGTAGATGCATATTTTCATGAAATATTCCAAATTATGCACCAGTGTTAAGATACCGTTTGTCTTAAAATAATGTTCTGTTGAAATTGATATTCACAACTGTGCAGATATATGAAGTTCGACTTGATATATTATAATTTAGATAATGCTATAGGTTCACACATTCCCGACTTTAAAGCCGAACCGCCGCGAATAGAAATTCTTGGGTAAATCGGGGATGGTCCTTGGCTGCCTCGGGATGATTCTGTTAGTTCGGAGAAAGATCGTTAAAGATCGGGAAGCACCCCGACAATTTTGGACATGTTCAAAATTGTCGGGGTGATTCGGGAACCAAATTCAATTCTTGGTTTAATCTTGTTGTATTCGGAACTAATTCTGTATATTCTGGATATTCTGGATTTTCTTTCGTCATTCTTACAAATTTCGTAGTTATTTTTGGTGTTAACTATCCAGAATCATGCCGAATCATTACGAATGTATCAAGAAACGTACGAATATTATACCAATAACTTACGAATACACTAAATCGGCATAATGCTGGGTCATTCTGGATGATTCTTGAGTGATTCGCATGCTATTCTTGACAAAATCGCTACAATTCGGTTTTATTCTGTACTAAATCGCAGTCACTCGGCTTGGTTCGGCTTCCAATTCGTACCTATAGTTCTTGATTATTTCTGTTCATTCTTAAGTTATTCTTACAAACAGCGAATCGGGGCTAATTTCTCTCGATGCCATCAATAATTTTTATTCGGGATAGATCGGGGTATTCGTGACAATAATTCGGGAATGTGTGAACCTAGCATTAGTTACCGATAGTATAGATTTCCCAAAATAATGTAACACACTTTGACTTTTCACCGACTTTCCACACACGTTGTAGCAAAACGTCATTATTGGCGAGCTTCAAATTCATAAACTGGTACTACATGTAAATAAAACAAAATCTGCAAATGGAAAATTTTGAAGAATCTTTGTGACTTGAAATATACTCCAGAATATACAGAGGTGGCGTCCCGAAATTGGGCACAAAATCGGGCGCAGCGTTCCCTAACGAGGTGCACTATAGGAACAAAAGTCACAAATTCCCAAGTTTATATGTAACAAAAAATGAATGTGGAAAAGTATGAAAATCATACCTATTTCCACTCAAACATATTATACCCGTCCATGCTTGCCGAGATGCTGTAAACGAGAGGTAGACTCGTGTTCCTGTGCGCGCATATAGCAAAGAGCATTAAAGGAAGTTATAGCACGGTCATATCATTTCAAAGTCAAAATACAGAGTTTTATTACATGTACTGCTGTGCAAATTTGTATAATGAAATAAAGACATGTTCTATTATTCCACCTTCTTTTACAAACCTTTATAAGAGTGCATGATTATGATCCAAAGCTTGCATGTTTTAAAACAACATTTTTTGCGAAAAAAACCACAATTTTTATACGAACAAAAAATACTTGTATGATTAAAATTTATGAACTTTAGAAAAACCTTTACAAACACTAGCAAATTTTCGAATCCAGCTTTGAAGAACCATTTTCGGAAGAAGGGCTCCTTTTTAAAATACATAACTATTTTCAACCTGGGAAAGTTCCCCCCCCCTTTTTTTTTTAAACTGCTGAGCACCTCTCGCTCAAATAAGGACTAATCAGTACAGAAATTCCTTAGTTATCCAGACAAACTCTGTATTTGGCCCAAAACAGTGATAATTCATGTTAAGCCTATTACTATTAGCGACGTTGTTTCACACCGTGCATGTGCATGGTTATAATAGTTTTACAATATATTGTATTAATAATATTTGCTTAACAATTATGCATTAATCAAATAATGTTTTTATCCCGTTGTATTGAATTGCATTGTATTTGTAATGTATTGTATTTGTATACATGTTTGTAGTCATTTTATTGTATGCAGGGCCCCAATGGAAACCAGTTTTTAAACTGTTTGGGCATACCCTGGGTAAATAAATGTAATAAATAAATAAATAAATATATGATGTGTACGAATTTATGCAATTTATGACAAATGATGACGAAAACAGTTGGACTTTTACATACGTGTAAGTTGTGGTTCACACTCACTTTGGAGTGCAACTTTTTGGGGGTACCATTTGTCATAAATTGCATAATTATGTACACATTATCACTGTTTTGGGCCAAACAAAGAGTATGGCGGGATTGCTTGGGAATTTCTGCACTGATCGGTCGTAATTTGAGCAAGATGTGCCCAGTAGTTTATGAGTTAGAAAAAAAAGTATTAATGGGGGACTTTGGTGTGTTTTTTTTGGTTGAGTGTAGTTCGCCAAATAATCTCTACCAGCTTTCAGCCATTTAAATTAAGGTAATGTAAATTTGCACACAAATAAAAAAAACCCGAAACTGCCTAATTTATGAAATGCCTTATACTTGGCTGTAAGTACACAATAGCCTCAAGCTTCCTGTGAAATTGTTACACCTGGAATACTGTCATTTTCAAGAAAAGTGGACTTTCGTATCAATATCTAACAATGGTTTCTCACGAACGTTGGGGGAAAAACTGCCTCCAACTGACTGAATTTAGTTAGTCCACATTTTGTTTGCAATCGGTTACATATCTGTGAATGGGCGCAAGCTCGCTAGTCTGGTTCTCTGTCCTGACAATTCCCTGATGTCTATATATTCTTTAGTTTTATCAGAAGCGTCGGGTCAGGGAACCAGACAAGAAGAACATTTGTTTTCTTGTATTTGTTTCTTTGTTTTCTTTCACCGGCATCCTTGAACACAAAGCTTTAAACAGCGCAGTGGAACGATATTTGCTAAAAATGCTAACCCCTAAATCCGTCCTATAGCAAAACCAAATGTTGTAGGCTATGTTACATTTAAAGCTATAATTTATAAACACTTTGTACAGATTTTGTTTTAAGTAAACACCTTCTCAACATGTTTCAGCTTGCACAGTCTAAAAGACCCTAAATATTAAAAAATTAAATGGTAAAGTTAGAAAAAGAAGAAATATATATTACACAATTCCAAAGGTAATCCAGAATGAATATTGCAACCCGACGCTACTTCAGCGGTTGTGTACAAAGTCTATGGAGAGTCAAGAAAGTATTTCCTAACAAAATTGGAAATGTTTTTCAGTCCCAGATTCATGTCTTATCATCATTTTTACAATGACTGACCTTCACTGAGATCGGAGATAAAAGCAGCGTCAGGTTGCAACATGTAACAAGACCAGGTCAATAGTTATACATTACATTCAAATATTATGCACAAAAGTTATCATAAGGAAAATAATATCAGTGCCAAAGAGACAAAAGAAAACTGCTCCAAAAAAAAAACTTGTGAAAAAAATGAAGTACCTAATAAGGAACAAAGTCAACCGTGAACTTTGGCTACCCGCATCTAAGCAGTTGCCATGTGTAAACTGCATGAATTGAAGTAATCAGCCGAAAATAAGCACCCTCTAACATCCTACAGGGAGTAAAAAAAAACCCGAAACCCAAATGTCGGGACTATTGTTTTAGTGAAGTTCTGCATGCAGCACTTTCCAAATCTGGGATATGAAAGCCCAATTCATAAGCTTTCATTTAGTGCAAGAATCATTCAAGTCACGTATGTACTTTTCAAGTTACGGAATTTTTAACACACCGTTTTAACGGTGCTGTCCACGGATCACCAAAAAGGTGTGCATTCTTTCACCAAAACCAAAACAATTCGCACACTATTATGTGAATTGTTTCGTTTTGCAGAAAGAACACTTACTTTTTTGTGATCCGTCGACAGAACTTTAAAACAGTGGTTGTGTTTAAAATTCCGTAACTTGAAAAGTACACGAGTGATTTGAATGATTCTTGTACTAAAAGAAAGCTTATTAATTGGGCTTTCATATCCTAGATTTTGATAGTGCTACATGCAGAACTTCACTAAAACAATGGTCCCAACATTTGGGTTTCGTTTGTTTTTACTCACCCTGTACAGCAGCCATCTTTGATGTGTGTTTTGTTATACCAAAAATGCCATGCTCAGCAAGGAAGCTCATGGACATTTGACCTCGCTCAGAATTTACTACTTACTACAAATACATGTACCAGTGCCAGGCAGCGGCAACGAACCGTAAAAAAAGAGTATAAAAGTCACCGATCAACCATTGGATAGCCTGAAGTATTATGACATGCTCAAGTTAGAAAATCCATGTAAAAAAAGAGTGAAGTTCCAGAAAATCTTTACGGATAATGTTCAAATTTAGAAAATAGCTAAACTTACTCAAGGCACATTTTAATGTATACTGAATGAGATCAAAAAGTACCCTCCCCCTAAATTACAATTACTGTTAGCATCAAAAAAGCTTGTCCTCATCTAAATATTGAGGGAACATGAACTTATTAACAAGTACACTTTCTGCAATTAAATCCAACTTTGTTTATGCCCTTTCCAAGTTTTTCGAAAAAAGGGGGAAAACCCTGTCATATCGTTCACTAAAATGTAAGTACACTAAAACGAATTAAGATTGCAGTCTACAGAGTACACATACGACAAATTTTCTTTCACTGCGTGAAATTGTTTCAACACCCTGTTTCCCTGGTTGACAACCTCGAGCCCAATAATCCATTTATAACTAAGATTAACAACAGTCTTACCTCATATGAAAGTAACTCTGTCTAGGGCTGTCACCAATATACCAAATATTCGAATATTCGATCATCAAACTAAAACAAAAATAAACAAACACACAAAAAAACATGTCGTGCAACGACATGTACACACACGACTGTGATGTTATTTATTTCAGATGCCACTTTTAGTCAACGGTAATTTTTTTGTTGACGACGGTTCATTTTTCCCATCCTCTGAGCATGCTATACCCCTTGACAGTTATAAAATTCCTACTCCAGTGGCCCATATCGATCGCAGCATGTCAATTTTAACTGGTGCGCTCTGCGTGCAACTTTTGACCAGCGCAGCAGGCAATTGCAGGTGGCAGTTACAAATATCCGAATATTCGGTCAAAGGCAGTTTCAAGTAATCGAGTACTAAATTATTCGAAAACAGACAGCCCTAGCTCCGTCAAGAGAACATTCTTCTTGACACATTTGGTTTTTAATGAACATACCGGTATTTCATAGGCAATAGATGCTATGCATCTCGCACATTAAATGTGATAAAAAAATATCTGAGCACAGCAACAGCTACTACCAGCAGATGGATACATAATTACAGTTTCATGATCTTTTGAAAAGTCAAGAAAATGGTGAAAACAGAATACAAAAAATAAAGACATATGACTAAGTACAGTTAAGCTACAAAAATACTACTCTTAAGTTAAGTCTAAAGTAAGATCATTTGTACTGGGAGATGTAGTTGACAAAGGAATGCCTTTCTGCAGATGACGTGTGACTCACTTGTGATTGACATGTGACTGGCTTGTGATTGGCTTGTGATTGACTTGTGATTGACTTGTGAGTGACTTGTGATTGACTTGTGATTGACTTGTGACTGGCTTGTGATTGGCTTGTGATTGACTTGTGAGTGACTTGTGACTGGCTTGTGATTGGCTTGTGATTGACTTATGACTAACATGTGACTGACGTGATTGACTTGTGGCTGGCTTGTGATGGACTTGTGATTGGCTTGTGACTGACTAGTGATTTACTTGTGGCTGACTCATGACTGACATATGATTGACTTGTGATTGACTTGTGACTGACTTGTGATTGTCTCATGATTGACTTGTGATTCACTTGTGACGACTTGACTACAGCTATGCAAGAGAATGAAAATTGAAGACTATAACATATGGTCACAACCCCTGGCATCAACAAATAACATGAGAATGATGGCAAGCATTTGGTGACCAAGGGATTCAGTGCCATGGGTTGAGGAGGGAATTTGCAGGACTGAGCAAAATAGAGACCGACCACTATTGCTTGTGATGGGAAACAATGAATGACCCTGGATAATTAAAAAAATAAAACAGAGTGTGCTATTGGTTCGCTACACTGTTGCGGGAATTGTCCTAAGATGTGACGTCTACATGTTTGAGAGTGAAGGAGAGTCTATTTGTAAGATTGGGGGAGATAGGATGCGATCAACGGGGTGTATAATATTCTGTTCGGGATAAAAAAGGGGGAGGATAAATGCAACAGCCCCCCCCCCCTCGTCCAATGGAAGTGGCTCCCAATGTTATACCGGCAAATAGCCTCGTTTTACTGTATCTAATGACTAAATGGACGTCGTGCTATTAAGGATGATGGGAATTTGAAATCATTTTTTTTTTCAAGAAGGCTTTTTTTTCCACATAAGGTCGTAAACATTAACGGCAAGGCAAGTCACGTTCTCAAGTAAATGAAGGACAAGTTTCTGTTTGTTTAAAAAGTGTGACAGGGGAATTGGGGAAAAGGGGAAAAAATGACACTACAAAAAGGCTAAAGCCAGGATGGCGCTATTGGAGTAGCGGTAAAGCGTATTGCCGACAACAACTAAAAAGAACTCTTCGGTCGTTTTCAACGCGATTTCATATTTCAAAAGAGAAAAATGCCGAACATTACATTAAAAGAATATGCTGGTTTGTCTGTCTACGACAGCTATGCAGAGAAGCAGTTGTTAGCAGCTTTGTACGGTCTGATCTTTGTCGCTGGTGTGCTAGGTAACATCTCTGTCTTGCTGGCCGTGGTTCTCTCCCGTAAACCTCGCACAACCACCAACGTTTTCGTGGTCAACATGGCCGTGGCGGACCTCATCACTTGCCTGAGTTTGCCCATCATGATCCTGGCGGTGCTGAGCGAGAACAGGGCAAAGCTACTCGTTTCAGAGAGTCTTTGCACTTTTCAAGGAGTTTTAGTCGTCGTTTGTATCGGTTGCAGCATTAATAACATCACTTCTATCGCCGTCTACCGTGCCCTGATCACTCGCCGCAGGAACCGAAGCCGTTTTATCTCGTTGTTCAATCGTCGTGGTCTAGCAGCCTTAGTCACTACGAACTGGCTCATTCCCTTTAACATCGGCATCCTGCCCATCGTGTCCGAGTTCGCCTCGTACGGATACAGCGATGAACTCAGCACCTGTTCCTTCAATTTGAAAGCCAACGGATCCGGTACATACTCCAAGATCATGGTGGCCGTCTACTACCCAGTGCAGCTGGTCGTGACTTTCGTCAGCTACGCACTCATCCTCATCACGGTGATAAAAGTTGCAAGAAAAGTCAACGCCAATCCGAATCAGACAGTGGCTGTAGTTGGAGGGGCCATGAGGCTAACTGCAGGACTCAGAACGACACGACCATCAGTCTATGGCAATGTCCCAGCTAGCAACCTGTTGCAGGTGCCTACTCCCGATCGCCATCTCCGGGTAGTCACTGGACGTCAGGCTTGGACGGCCTTCCGTCCATCGTCACGCGCCGCCCGTACCCACCCGGTCAGATCTTCGGCCAGACCTCTTCTGCGTCGAAACCGCGAAGTAACACTCAGTCTGTTTCTCGTCCTCTTCTTCTTTCTGATTTGCTGCACTCCTTTCACAGTAGCAATCGTGCTAGTCCGGGACAGATTCCAGAAATGTGTCCCCTTTCTAGCTGCACTGATCATCTCCAACAGCTGCATAAACCCTGTGATTTACACGGCCAGGCATCCAGAGTTCAAAGCGGTTATCCGTTGCATCATACTATGTCGACTCTCAAAGATACCCATGAAATCATCCTTCCTACGGAGATTGCTCACACTCCAAGAGAGATAATATATGGAATTTAAGAAATGACCTTTTATAAAAAATAAAAAAATCCTCCCTATAAATGGAAAATCACAATGTTGAATTAAAAAAAAAAAAAAACACTAAAATTTAATTGAATTATTTTAACTTGATGGGTTTTGAGAGACATTTTGATGATTTCGCATGGAAAATGTGAACATCAAACTGAAGAACGCATTGAACAGCATTCTACGTTCATTTTCGAAGCCTTTGGTCTGATGGAATGTAACACTTCTCGGACGAAAAATCTAAAAAGAAATAGAAGGGACGTTCATGAAAGTATCTTGTTTTATAAATCACGGCTAACTCTGCGCAAAATACGTCTCCTGACGACAGGCAGAGCGTATTGGGTGAAGTTTTTCCATCGGAAACTCACAGAACCACACAAACTCACACACTGAAAAATTGCCTGGGTTAATTTTAATAAACCATTCTTATAAAGCGCATTTTACACGGGGTCCCAATGCGCTGAACAATTAACAGAGAAAACACTAACATTATATATAATTTGCAGTGAACAGATGGGTTTTAAGATTAGCTTTGAAAGTGTCCAGGGTTGGACATCCTTGATGTGGTCGGGTAGTTTGTTCCAGAGGGTAGGGGCTGCAGATGAAAACGCTCG